TGTGACGGGAACCCGGCTGCTGTGCTGAAGACCCCGCGGGCCGCAGCCGAAGACCCGATGCAGCCAAAATAAATCTAAAAAATAAAAAAGAGCCCGTCAGTTTTCCCACTGGAGTTTAGACAGGCTCACCAAGTTCAATGGTGTGTGTGGTCTTAGTTACCAGAAACCTGTATTCTAGGGTCTTTATGAAAGTCCTTTCCATGAACTTTTTAAAGATCAAGGATTTTTGTCTGCAGTTGATTGTAAACGCTTTCAGGGAAGATCAGTGAAACAGTAACCCTCTGTAAATGGCTAAAGACTGAAAAATAACCATGGTCAAAGATCTGATGAGTTTATTGCCAAAATTATGCAATTATGGAAATTTGTTTTTTTCTGTTGCATATAACAATTTGTGATGGTAATTGGAATTATGACTAACATACAGTCATTGTGAGGACATTGAAAAATTTCTAGGCATTTTATATAACTTTGGAAGCTTACATATAGGTAATATATATCCATATAATTTAGGGAAGAGTTACCATCACTTTTTATTTGACAATGTTTTCTATGTAACTTAACTTATCAAATAAGCCTAGTTAGTTTAATATCTCTGTTTTTATAAGGTGAGATAACAAATCTTTTGAGATTCCTAGGGTTCCTTGAAAATCCCAAAGTTAGAGGTCAAAGAGACCCTATTTCATGTTTGACTTTGGAAAGTTTGTAAAAAATGTCAAAGGGTTGAAAATATGAAATATTGCAGGTCATTGTGAAATAATATTTAGCCATTGAACCAAAGTGATAAAGATTCTAAAGGCAAATATAGGAAGTCACATATTTGAGGAAAAAGAAAACTTAGTTCTTTCAATATTGAGAAGATGCACTTTTTCTAAGTAATCAAACACCCTATAAAGACAGCATGAGGCTCAGGAAGGTGTTTGGACAAGACGCAGAATCTTTGTTTTGTAGGCAGGTTACTTGGAAGGTAGAGAAAAACCTTCTCAGATCTGTTTTTGATAAACATCCTCTTTGTGTCCTCCTATGGGAAGACTAGATTTAATCTTTGCGGTACCATGGCTATTCCTAGGACTAGAAAAATAAGCACTTACATAAATTATTTCTCAAACTCTCAGAAATATAGAAACCGATCCAAACGCTTTTCGAGCTCATGTGGCCTGGGATGATCTTTGGCAAGTAAACGCTAAGCCTTTTTTAAGTGTATGCATCTGTTTCACTTCTGACTGTGCCGGGTCTTCACTGCTGGGCGGGCCTTGCCCTGGTTGTGAGAGCCGGGCTGCTCTAGTTTTGGGGTGTGGGCTCTCGATGAGGTGGCTTTTCTTGTTGTGGAGCACAGGCTTCAGGGCACACGGGCGTCATTGCTGTGGCTCGCTGGCCTCAGAGTGCACGCTCAGTCATTGTGGCCCGCGGCTTAGCTGACCTGCAGCATGTGGAATCTTCCGGACCAGGGATTGAACCGCTGGCCCTCACATTGCAAGGCAGATTTCTTAACCAGTGGACCACCAGGGAAGCCCAGTTCAGTTCAGTCGCTCAGTTGTGTCTGACTCTTTGTGATCCCATGGACTGCAATACGCCAGGCCTTCCTGTCCATCACCAACTCCCGGAGTTTACTCAAACTCATGTCCATCGAGTCAGTGATGCCATCCAACCATCTCATCCTCTGTCGTCCCCTTCTCTTCCTGCCCTCAGTCTTTCCCAGCATCAGGGTCTTTTCCAACGAGTCAGCTCTTCACACCAGGTGGCCAAAGTATTGGAGTTTCAGCTTCAACATCAGTCCTTCCAAAGAATACTCAAGACTGATCTCCTCTAGGATGGACTGGTTTGACCTCCTTGCAGTGCAGGGGACTCTCAAGAGTCTTCTCCAGCACCACAGGTCAAAAGCATCAATTCTTCGTCACTCAACCGGGGAAGCCCAGTAAAAGCGAAATCTTTAAATGGATATCTCCTCTAATGTGACTCTAAACCAGTGAGCTTAAAACCCACCAGCCTTTTGTGACTTCACCATGGGCCCCAGAGAGGGCACAGGAGATGCAGGCCTCCCCGAGATCTAGGGCTTCTCCCACGTCAGCCCAGGAGAGAAGAGGCCGCCGGGTCACAGGGAGTCAAAGACAACCCAGTCTGTCCTGAATCTGTGCTTCTGGACAGGCCACGCTAGAGGCCTCCCGGCTCAATCAAGGGGGTGGGGGGACAACTGCACAGGCCGTGTGGCCCCAGGTGAGCCGTGTCACCAAGAGCTGGGGCAGCACGAGCGATCCGGGCTGCTGTGCGCCGACGGACGACCCGCGGGCTCCCAACACCACCCCCCAGGGAGAGTCACGTTCACAGACCAGCTCTGACTCGTGTCTTCCTCCCAGTAGGCTGTGCCTGGACAGCAAGAGCCAGGAAACAGCCCTGCCTTCCCCCCCCGAGGGCCCCCCACGGAGACCCCGCCGTCCGGGCAGCTCCCGGACCCCCTCTGCAGGCTTCCCTGCTCTCACGGTCCTTTTGTGCTCTCCAGAAACCCCCAGGGAGGCAAGATCTGACCTCTGCACCTTGGGGTTTGGCTAGGATTCAAGGTGAGCTGAGAACATTCCAGAACACAGAGCCCAACTCAGGAGGCCTGGGTCCCTCTCACGCTCCGTCCGTCCGGGCTTGCCTCTGGCTCGGAGGAGCCCTGAGCTGCAGGGCTGGGACCCTGGGCGCAGACGGTGCTTGGCCTAGCCCCCGGCATCCCTCCTGGGGAGAAGACGGCGTGTCACAGCCCCGGGCAAGAAGCTGAGTATCCCAGACCCTGACCTCCCCAGAGCTGAGCGTCAAGGCCCTGACGTGCGAGCCTCGGGTGTGCGCGGGGCTGCCAGATGGGAGGAGAGGACTCCTGGCCCAGCACGGGGTGCTGAGTCGCCACCACAGGCACCGGTTTCTCCTCCTCCCCATGCTGAGAGCGTGGGCTGCTCTGGGGACGCCCGCCACACCGCCCGGGGACAACAGACAGCAGCTCTTCCTGAACCGAATGGAGCCTCAGCCGAAGGGCCCCGGAGCTGAACCCAGGGCGGGGGTCAGCTGCCGTTCACGACGTTTACCCTTGTTTTCAATTTCGAACGTTCCAACTGGCTTTCAAAGCAACCGTGTTAAAAGCCATCTGGAAAATGCTGCAAGTTAGGGGAAAAAAGTCGCCATCCCTAGACGGCGCCCTTCCTGGGCTGCCTCCGGCCCCTCCCACGTGGCAGCCCCAGGCACCCACCGCCGCCTCTTGCTCTCGGGGCAGGCGTGGTGCTCAGCACACACGCCTTCCGGCCCCGTGGTGTGCAGGGCCCCTCGCCGGGCAGGGCCGAGGATGCTGAGGCCAAGAGCAGCCCAGCGACGCCCTCTGGGTCCACAGACCTCAGACCCCAGAGGGCCCCTTCAGTCCCCAGGCCCCCAGTGGGCAGCTGGGGGCTCTCTGGTCCCAGCACCTCACTGCACCTGAACGATCGGTCTGAGCAGCGGGTCCGGGGCCATGAGCCCCGCTGGGTGAAGGAGGTGCCGCCTGGCCGCACCCGCAGCTCTCGGGCGCAGTGTCCAGCGAGCAGTGGCGTGGCTGGGTGTGTGATCAGGAGCTGGCTGGTGGCCGAAGCAGGGCCTAATGTTATTCTAGGATGCGGTGTTTCTGCGTCCGTCTGGGAGGGAGCCGGGACCTGGCCTCTAAGCATCAGGATCTCACTTGAGTTTCTGGCTCACATCGGCACCGCAGGCCCATTCTCGCGCCCTGGTCAGCAGCCTGCGGAGGCAGCGCCTGTCTGCCAGGGCTCCCAGCTCCAGGCCGAGGGTGGGATGGGCTGGAGTTTCGCACTTGAAAGGGCTCGGGGGCCTTTCCCTGCAGCTGGGGTGGGGCAGCTCTTTTGGCTGCCCAGGGGAATCACCAGGAGTGTGGACACCGGCTCCAGGGTTAGCTCTAGCCTTTGGAGCTCCCAGGGGTTCGGCCAGGCTGACGGTCACGGCATGGACCTTGGTCCGCTGAAGCTCTGGCATCCCTCTCCCATGACCTCGGCCAGGAGTCCCCGTTAGCAGCCCACCTGGCCCTCTGGTGATCTGGCCTCCAGTGGGTGTGGCTGCACTCTATCCAACACAGTCATGGAACCACAAGTGCCAGGTCCCTGTCTGCTGTCTGACAGTCTGCATTCCTGGGTGACATTCTCAGGCCGGGCCGGGAACACGGAGACCCAGAGAAGAAAGCACTTGAGGTGAGGCCCGTGCTGTCCCCGGGCAGATCCAGGTGGGCGTCACCACGCCAGGGCCGCCTCCGGAGAGAACGCCCCAGCTCTCCCAAGGGCCACTTTGCTGAAATGAGAGGAAAGATTCAGAAAGACTCATTGTCCTCAGATGGGTGGCTTGCTGGGTAAGAGGGGCCTTTAGGAGCCTTGGGGTGTGGCCACCTGCCTCGGCTTCTCTCCCGGTCTGGGTTCTGGCAGGGCCCGGAAGTTTTGGTGACAGGCTGTCCATCGGCCCACAGCAGCCCTGGCCGCTTGGAAGGCAGTGTTTTGTGGCAAGGTGGACAGCTCTGTCTGGTAACCCGCCCCTGTCTGGGTCCCTCAGGGCACCTGGAGCACTGGGTGGCCACATTCACGTCCAGCTGCTGCTATAACAAGTGACCACATGCTGAGTGGCTCAAGACAGCACACATTTATTCTTGCGTTGCTGAGGGCCAGAGCCCTGGCCTCAGTTTATCTGGGCTGAATCAAGGGCCCTGCAGGACGCTGCTCCCTCGGAGGCTGGAGGGGCGAGTCTGTCTCTCTCGCCCCCACCCGCACGTCCCCGAGCTGCAGCCCCTCCAGGCATCATGTTTCCTTCTGCATGGACCGGATCGTGTTCCCAGATGCACGTGCTGCAGCCCGGCCCCCAGGGCGAGGGGCTTTGTGACAGACCGGGTGCTCAGCTGCAGTCTGCACAGGAGATGCGGCCCTCCAAAGACAGAGAATCCGGCAGTTTCCGTCACACCTGCCGCGCTGCTGCCCCGGCGGCAGGGCTGACGTGCCCTCTGCCCCCAGGTGTGCATCGTGCAGAAGCGGGACACAGAGAAGATGTACGCCATGAAGTACATGAACAAGCAGCAGTGCATCGAGCGTGATGAGGTCCGAAATGTGTTCCGGGAGCTGGAGATCCTGCAGGAGATTGAGCACGTCTTCCTGGTGAACCTCTGGTGAGTGGGCCAGGGGCGCCCCCTCTCCTGCCCCAGGTGCCTGCCTCCCACCCTTCCCCCTCACAGTGCCCCCGGGGCCAGCAGCTGTCCAAGTGTCCACATGCACACACACACACGCATGCATGGACCACCACCGTCATCATCACCATTACCACCATTACCACCATCACCACCATCACTATCACCACCACCACCATCACCACCACCATCACCACCATCACCACCACCACCATCATCATCACCATCACCATCACCACCACCACCATCATCACCACCATCACCATCACCACCATCACCATCACCACCACCACCATCACCACCACCACCATCACCATCACCACCACCACCACTATCACCATCACCATCACCACCACTATCACCATCACCATCACCACCATCACCATCACCATCACCACCATCACCATCATCACCACCACCACCATCAGCATCACCACCATCACCATCATCACCATCACCACCATCACCATCACCACCACCACCACCATCAGCATCACCACCATCACCATCACCATCATCACCATCACCGTCCTCACCATCACCGTCCTCACTATCACCATCCCTGGGAGTGTCCACTGTGGCACAGCCTTGGGTCCAGGGCCCTTGTGCAGGGGGTGGGTCAGATGTGGCGGGAGCCGTGACCCCAGTCGTCCAGCCAAGCGTGTGCCAGGCGCCTCCGTGCCCTCAGGTACTCATTCCAGGATGAGGAGGACATGTTCATGGTGGTGGACCTGCTGCTGGGGGGGGACCTGCGCTACCACCTGCAGCAGAACGTGCAGTTCTCGGAGGACACGGTGAGGCTGTATGTCTGTGAAATGGCGCTGGCCCTCGACTACCTGCGCGGGCAGCACATCATCCACAGGTGCGTGCACGCCCGTCGGGGGGCTGTCCTCACAGGGCCCCCTGGGCGCCTCGCGCTCTGCCCTGCCCTTGCCTGCACACCTGCCCCAGGCGCGGCACCTGGGCCCACCAGCGCCAGCTCAGTCAGCCCCTCAGCTGCACAAATGAGGCCCCCTGGGGTGGTCATGTCTCAGTGGTGAGGCCGGGGACGGAGGTCCGGTGCCTCACTGGGGGCCGCCTTCACCTGCTCTGATAAGTGCAGGACTCCTGTCCCCGTCCCGCCGCTGGCCTTGTGCCCATCTGCTTCGTCCCTGGCAAATTCAAGTTAGTTTTAGCATCTGAAGGCTGATGAAATGAGGAACGTAGCTGCGTCCACAGGACGAAACACAAAATCCCACGTGGCATAAAGTGCAGCAGACGTGATTTCTGCAGCTCTTCCGGGGATGCTGATCTGGTTGTGGTTCGGGCACGAACGCTTCCTGACCAAGTGCCAGGAGATCGGGAGGCCAGGCTTGGCCATGGGCAGACCCGGGGCTCTGAGAGGCTCATCAGGGGCCCAGGCGAGGGGGCTCTGCTTCTGCGTTCTGGGCCCTGGCGCCCTCCCCGACCAGTGCTGGGCGCTCTCCCATTGCGGCCCCGGCAGAGGAGGGCCTGGGCTCCTGGGGTCCCGCTCGTGGGAAGCCCCTGTCCTGCCGGCATTTCTGGCCTCACCTCCCCACTCCCTGCTCCTTCTGCAGAGACGTGAAGCCCGACAACATTCTGCTGGATGAGCGAGGTGAGCCGCGGCCAAAGCCTCGGGTGGGGGGCGCTGACCTGCAGGACACGTTCCCCCCGGACCGGACAGTCGTGCTGAACTCATCTTTCCTCACAGGACACGCGCACCTGACTGACTTCAACATCGCCACCATCATAAAGGACGGCGAGAGGGCAACCGCGCTGGCCGGGACCAAGCCGTACATGGGTGAGCTCGCCCCGCCCGGCCCACACCCGCCCCGACCAGCCCGCTGGCTGGCCTCCCACCCCAACCTGTGACTGGGGGGGTCGAGTTCCTTCCCTAAAGGTGCAGCAGTAGATGATGGGTCAGGCTGCTTGACCCGCTCAGGGGACTCTAAGTGACGGATGTGTGCTGTGGGTCTGATCACGAGAGCGCGCTCAGCCAGGGGCCTCCCAGGTGGTGCTAGTGGTAAAGAACCCACCTGCCAGTGCTGGAGACATAAGAGACGCGGGTTCAATCCCTGGGTCGGGAAGATGCCCTGGAGGAGGGCATGGCAACCCACTCCAGTGTTCTTGCCTGGAGAATCCCACGGACAGAGGAGCCTGGCGGGCTACAGTCCATGGGCAGCAGAGAGTCAGACACGACTGAAGTGACTTAGCAGCCCACCCACCTCCCTCGTCAGGCTGTGGACCTGGAATTGAGACGAGTGGCCTGTGAAAAAGGACAGGTTGACCGCTGAGGGCAGCTTCCCAGTCCAGCTCTGGCGATAGCCTGGTCCCTGGTCCTGTGGTCATGGGGGCTGGAGTCACAGGGGGCTGGGGTCACCAGGGGCTGGGGTCATAGGTTCTCCAGTCACCGGGGGCTGGGGTCATGGGCCCTGCGGTCACTGGAACCGTGGTCCTCGGGGGCTGGGGTCACGGGGGTCGGGGTCACGGGGACTGTTGTTTGGGGATGCTCAGCTGCTCTCGCCTTCCTGGAAAGCTCCGGAGATCTTCCAGTCTTTTGTCAACGGTGGGACTGGCTACTCCTTCGAAGTGGACTGGTGGTCAGTGGGGGTGATGGCCTATGAGCTGCTGCGAGGATGGGTACGGAGCTCCTGTGACCCGTCGGCCAGGCCCCCCAGACCCCCCGGGGTGGCCCAGAGAGCTGAGGCTGCCCCCACCCCTGGGGCTCAGGGATGTCCATGCTCCCCGTTAGTGAGGCAGCACGCTGGAGGGGGCTGGGTGGGCAGAGGACCGTCCCGCAGGGCTGCACCCCGCCCCCGAGCTTCCCTTGAGGTTCCTAGGCGGTGGGTCCCCCTGCCCTCCCCACAATGGCCACAGCTCGGCCAGTCCCGCAGCCCAGGAGGCCGGAGGCTTGTCAGGCCCTCAGCTGCCCTTCCCATCCCTTCATGGGGGCCCTGGAGGCACGGCACCCTCAGACGGCCGCCCCCTCTGCAGCTGGTCCCCCGGGGCCAGGCCCTCTGCTGGGGGAGGGGCAGGGACGCGGTGCTTCCCTCCCAGCCCGCGGCGGCCTCTCTGGTCGCTTCCCTGGCTGAGGTGCAGGCTTGGCCTCCTGGGCTAGTCCCGGGGCTGCCCTGGGACGGGGTTGGGGGTGGGGCGGGGTGCCCGCGAGTGACGGGGGAGGCGCCTGCTGCAGCCCCGCCTCCCCTGCCCAGAGGCCCTACGACATCCACTCGAGCAGCGCCGTGGAGTCGCTGGTACAGCTGTTCAGCACCGTGAGCGTCCAGTACGTGCCCGCCTGGTCCAAGGAGACGGTGGCCCTGCTGCGCAAGGTGAGTGCCCGCCCGCACGGAGAGCGGGGCGGCGGACACGGGGGCCGGCGGGCAGCCCAGAGCGTCTGGCCGGGGACGGCGCCCAGCCAGGGCCCCCTGGGCCGCGTCTGTCTCCTCCTGGGCTCCTTGCCTGGCCCGGCCCCGGGCTCCTCGTCTTGTCGCGGCGCCGCCTGTGTGAGTGCTGGGGCGGCTGTCAGTCCTTATGACCTAATCAAAGCCTCGCGGCCGCTTCCGTCACTAACGCCCCAGCTCGGGGCAGGTCACCCCAGCGTGTGTCGGGGAGGCGGCCGGGGCCTGGTCCCACTCAGGCCCGGCTCGTCCTGTCGGAGGTGGGCAGCCACCGTCCGCTGGCAGTGGCCTGGCCAGACCCCGCACCAGAAGCGAGCAGGGGAGACCCCAGAACCCCCTGCCTGTCCTGGGCCCCGGGGGCTCAGCCTGTACAGACCTGAGGCTGTGGTGCTGCGGCTGCTGTTCCCCTCCCGGGGTCCAGGCTGGGCCGGGGTCACCCCTCGGCCAGCCAGCTAGCTCTCCACTCGGAGCGGTGCGCCTCAAACACCCTGTGCCCTGAGGCCTCAGGACAAGCGAGGAGGGGCGTGCTGGACACGCAGGGCCTGATTGGGCTGTCCTGGCCAGTGCCCGGGGACCTCTGGCCCCGGTAGTGTGCCCGAGTACCTGGAGGCCTCCCAGCCCCCGAGAGGGGCCGTCAACCAGCCTTCACCGCATGCCACTGCATCCACACTGGCCTAGGTGGCTCCCAAGGGGGACTGTGGCCCCCAGAGGCCAAGGTGGGGTGGGGAGGATCCACATGCCTTGCTGCGGAAGCCTTGGGTGAGGTCTCCGGTGGCTCCTCCTAGAATGGGCGGCTGTGATGGTGGCCCATCCTGCAGGGCCGCCCTGGGCCCGTGAGCATTAGTCCTGTCGTGGTGCTGAGCTGGTTACCAAGAGCAGGGAGCCGGACTGCAGCCACTGCCTCCTGGTGGGTCCGGGGAGATGAGACCTGCACCGGGGCCACTGACCAGGGCCTTGTTCCAGCTGCTCACCGTGAACCCCAAGCACCGCGTGTCCAGCCTGCAGGATGTGCGGGCGGCCCCCGCTCTGGCCGGCGTGCTGTGGGCTGAGCTGAGCGAGAAGAAGGTGGAGCCCGGCTTCGTGCCCAACGTAAGCCCAGGGGCCCAGGGTGGCCAGGGTGGGTGAGGGTAGCCGGGCACCGGCTCAGCACCATCCTCCACAGAAAGGCCGCCTGCACTGTGACCCCACCTTCGAGCTGGAGGAGATGATCCTGGAGTCGCGGCCGCTGCACAAGAAGAAGAAGCGTCTGGCCAAGAGCAGGTCCCGGGATAGCAGCAGGGACAGCTGCCCATCGGTGAGCGCGGCCCTGCACCCGGCCGCCTCTGCTCTGGCCCCTCACTCCCTCTGTGGTGGGGGAACAGGGGCTCTCCTGCCTGCCCAGCTCTGGAGGGTCACATGGGGCCAGGTCGGCCTCCATGGTCTCGGGGTCATTTCCCTGTGTGTGTGTGTGCACTCGTGTGTGTGTGCGTGTGTATGTGAGTGCACTCGTGTATGTGTGCGTGTGAGCATGTGTTTGTGAGTGTACTTATGTGTGTGCATATGTGTGTGCATGTGTTTGCGTGTATGTATACATGTGTTTGAGTGCACCTGTGTGTGCATGCATGCTTTTGTGTGTGTGTGCACTCGTGTGTGCATGTTTGTATGTGTGCACACTTTATTTAGGTGCATGTCTGTGCACCTCTGTGTGTGTGAGTACACTCGTGTGCATATGCGTGCATGCACGTGTCCATATGTCTTTGCACTTCTGTGTTTTGTATGTGTGTGACTGCATGTGTGTGCACATGTATGTGCATGTGAGTGCACTCGTGTGTGCATGTGTGCACACGTGCCTGTGTGTGACTTCAACTCATGTGCATGTTTGCATGTGCACGTGCATGTGTATACACCTGTATGTGCCTGTCTGTGCACTTCTGTGTGTGTGCATGTGTGTGAATGCACTCGTGTGTGCGTGTGTGTATGCATGTGTGTGCATGTGCTTGTGTGTGTGTGAGTGCACTCGTGTGTGTGTGTGCATGTGCATGAGTCTGCCTCTTCTCATGAGGACACTGCTCATACTGGGTGGGACTCCGAGTCCAGGGTGACCTCCCCATTCACTTGACTGGTGGCATCTGTGGAGACTTCATTTCACATTCCTAGGAATGGGGTCAGGACCCCACCCCAGGGACGTGGTGTAACCCATCACAGCCCCCACAGTCCTGCTCTTGGAAGTAGGGGTTCCCCTGGGGAGCAGCGGATCCAGCCTGGACCTGTCCCCAAGATCCGGCTGGTGTTCACGACACAACTAGGGCTGCAGGAATGGATGGCGGGGTCACAGCAGCGACACTGTAAGCCCGCCACCATCCCCCTGCTCCTGGGCCCCTCGGAGCCTGGGAGGACACCTGGGGGGCCTTGTGCAGCCCCATGCCTGGGTCCTAGGCAGACACGGGCACCAGCTCCTCCGCGGTGCAGGGGCCTCCCTGGAAGCCTTGGCTCCTCAGGGAACAGGTAGGTGGGCCCCCATCCCCTCCCCATTCCGTGGGCTGCTGATGGCGGCCCCTGGTGTTCGGCGGGGGCATTGCAGGCTGGTCCAGCTTTATTTATTTATTAGAGCTCTAGAAGTGACATGAAGTCGCTCAGTCGTGTGACTCTCTGAAACCCCATGGACTGTAGCCCGCCAGGCTTCTCTGTTCATGGGATTCACCAGGTGAGAACACTGGAGTGGGCTGTCATTTCCTTCTCCAGGGGATCTTCCCGACCCAGGGATTGAACCCAGGTCTCCCTGCAGGCAGACTCTCTACCATCTGAGCCACCAGGGAATTCCTATTGGTTCTTAAACTTACCTGGTGCCTCAATGGTACAGAATCTGCCTGCAGTGCAGGATACTAGAGTTCAATGCCTGGGTTGGGAAGATCCCCTGGAGGAGGGCATGGCAATTCACTCTGGTATTCTCACCTGGAGAATTCCATGGACAGAGGAGCCTGGCGGGCTACAGTCCGTGGGGCCGCAGAGTTGGACATGACTCAGCGACTAACACTTTGTCACTGTAAGGTCTTAGCTGCAACACTCATTTGTTGCAGTATGTGGCATGTGAGATCTTAGTTCCCGACCAGGATTCCGACCTGCATTCCCTTATCAGAAGATGGATTCTTAACCACTGGACCATCACAGAAGTCCTTGGTCCAGCTTTTTTCTTGCTGTCAGACTGGGAGTGATGGCTCAGAGTTCTTTGTGTGAAAGAGCTGAAATCAACACTCCTTATTTCCACTTTTTACTGTTGACTGATAAGTGTGATTTATTTACATGTTCTGCACACAAGTGTCTTAGACGATCTGCAAACATCGTCCAGTCTGTGGGCTTTCTGTCTTCAGGTTGGCACCATCTACAGCAGTCTTCGGTTCTGATGAAGTCCCGTGTCTGTCTTTTCTTTCCTCGTGTGTGCTTTTGGTGTCGTTTCTAAGACACCGTTGCCTCACCCGAGGTCACAGAGATGCACCCTTGTGTTTTGTAGTCTTCTGTCTTACGTGTGAGGCTCGGGTCCATTTTGAGTAGGTTTTATGCACAGTGTCAGGTGGGGCCCAGCCTGACTGCTCTGCATGTGGATCTGCATCGTCCAATTGCTGTTTATGGAAAGAGCTCATCTTTCCCCCATGAATTGCTTGGCAACATTTTAAAAAATGGATTGACTGTGAATGGAGGGGCTTGTTTATGGACTTGCACTTCTAGCCCACTGATCTGTGTGTCTGTCCTGCTGGGTCCACCTTGCCTTGACGATGGGGCTCTGGTGAGTTCTTGGGTCAACAAGTGCAGGTCTGCCAAACTGGTCTAATTTTTTAAGACATTTCAGCTCCTCTGGGTCCCTTGCATCCCCAGGGTGTTCTGAAGGGCTTAAGAATTCTGTCTCAGTCACTCAGCAGGTCATTTGTGACAAAGTGAAGGATTGGCGCCCTGTCTGCATGCCCGGGCCCTGTCGCTGCCCACCTTGGGTGAGGCACTGGCATTGATAGGGCCCGTAGGTGTCCGCCCCGAGGACTGTGTGCCCGGAACCATCACTGGCACAGTGGTCGGGCGTGGGGTGCGGGGGGAAGCAAGGCTGAGCTCCAACGGAGTCCGGGGGGGCGGCCTGACCTGCAAGGATCTGAGTGTGGGTCATGCCCCTGTGCCCAGCAGCCATAAGCAGGGAGCCCAAGGGTCCTCGTGCCTTCCTGTGGCCTCCCGAGCCTGCGTGGCAAAGGCTCCAAAGGCCCGAGCAGGCCACGGGGCCACGCACGTGTGCCGTTGGCCGGAGACGTGCTCCCGAGCTGGACGGGCCACGCCCCAGAGCCCCAGCTGACGGCGCATGCGCACAGCACGCACCTCGGGAAGGTGGGGCCCTGGCGCGTTGCTGCCCACACCGTCCGCCTCTAATGCCTCTCCGACCTCCGAGCGGCTCCTCGGGCCGGTTCGCCCCTCGTCCTGGGAGAACCTGAATGAGGGAGGGTGTGAGACACAGCCCAGCTCCTCCCCACCCCCCGCTGACCCCCAGACGGCGGACAGCCTCTGCACCCGTCGCCCGCCCCAGCCTCGCTCCCCTGCACCCTCATCCTGCGCCTCCCTTGGTCTCTGGGCCTCGGGGGTCACCTCCTGCCATGACCTCACCCCCGCCTCTGAGTAGCCCTTGGCTTCAGTCCAGCGCTGACTCAGGCCGGAGTCTGTGCCCCTGTCCAGTCATCATCGGCACTGGCAGGGTTGATGACCCCATTTAAGTTGGAAAATCGGAAGTCAGTTTGCGTTTACTACCCCTCACCTCCTGAACATCACAGTCCGCCAGGCCTGCCTTGTACGGGCTCAGAGCACTCAGGTCAGCCGCGAGTCGGGCAGAGTCATCTGACACTGAGCCTCTTTTATATCTCAGTATTGACCCACCCGTGTACTTTATCAAATACTGAAAGTGGAAAAGGGCGCGTCTGGGTCCAGGGTGGGTGTCTGAGCGTCAGTTTTCACCCTCGGGGTCGCGGGGCTGAGCGGGAGCTGCAGCCACTGCCCGGCATCACATCAGAGCGTCGGATCCTGTATCGCCAGCCCGGAAAAGGTCCAGGTCAAAATCTGAAGTGCGGTCTCTGCTGTCTGCTTGTCACTTTCACACCCCTGTGAAGTCAGAAAAGAGACTCCAGCCGTGGTAACTGGGGACCGGCTTGATGCTCAGTCGTCCTCGGTGAATGCAGACGAGTGCCCGCCCTCTGTGCTACGGGCGTCGGGAGGAATGCCCTGTGAGGTCTGGGCCGCAAGCTGCAGTGGGCAGCCATGTTGGTCAGCTCTGGTAGAGGCTCGGGCCACCACTGGGTTAAGATCTGTCCCTTCTCCCCCTCCGGCCACAAGCCAGCTGGTCTCCGCAGGCCAGGCTTGTGAATTAAATGGAAAAACAGCAGGAGTAGCATCCTCGGATCCACGCTGTGCCGTGCTGTGCTCACTCAGTCGTGTGTGACTCTGCGACCCCGTGGATGTAGCTCGCCAGGCTCCTCTGTCCCTGGGATTCTCCAGGCAAGAACACTGGAGTGGGTTGCCATGCCCTCCTCCAGGGGACCTTCCCAACCTGGGGATCGAACCTATGTTTCCTGCGCCTCCTGCATTGACAGGCAGGTTCTTTACCACTGTTTGAAGCCCTCAGATCCCCACAGATAAAGGCAAAGACTCAAAACACCACTCAAAGTCAGTGGTGCTAGGCACTGCCATTCCACTCTGGATGTGGGTTATTTCCTATCTAGGCTGGTTTTGGGAGAGAGACTATTTTCGGGAGCTTTCACTGGGCTTTTCCATGATAATATGAATAGCTGCTACTCCACAGGTCAAGGAACTAAGAGAATTCGGCCAGATACAAATATTAATACATCCATCTTGGTTATGCATACAGCCGCCAGGGGGAGAAGAGGGACGTGGGCCTAGTATTCGGCTCACACCTGTATTCAACAGCCCTCCTGTGTGCAGATATGCAGGGAAGTGGTCATGGGTACCTTTGGGAAGGACTGGGGTATCGCTGCCATGTACACTTGCTCGGGCCTTCCTGACCAAGAAAAGAGCCTGCCCCTGCTTCAGCCCACAGGTCCAGGTCTAAGAACCGAATCTGATCTGGAAATAGGGAAAAGAGCTGTGACTTTCCATCCAGGTGGCCAACGTCAGCCTGGTGCTCATGCACGCTCGATCTGAGTGTGTGTGTGTGCACACAGGCACGTGTGTGTGAGCACTGGCCGTCCACCTCTGACCCTGAAAGCACTGTGATCAGACACCCTCAGCATCCCAGGGGTCGGGGTGTCCTGCTTGCCTCTCCAGCCTGGAGGCCTATTTCCATGGTTACACCCTCTTAAGTGTGGCTGACTTAGGTGAGGTCAAGGCTGCCACTGTCCGGGATCCCATCATGGCCTTTGGGACACTCAGTCCTGGAGCAGATCCTCTCGAACTACACAGGAGCCATGGAGCTTCCCCAGGCGCTATGTCCCCACCAGCTTGTTCCTTGTCTTCTGGCTGGAAAGCACATTCCTCAGGCCCTCCAGAAGAATGCGGTCATCTGGGGGGTCTGTGGGTCTTTACTCTTGAGTCTGCTGGCCGCTCCAACTGCCCACGTCTCTGAGCCTTTGACCCTATCCCAGCATTCTTCCAAGGCTGTTCTGAACCTTCTGACCGCTTCACCTGGGCCGTCCTTTCTTCCAAGTTTCCAAACTGCAGTGTATTAGGATGCACTCACGCCAGGGCTCCTGCAGGGAGTTAGCCCCAAGCTGTGGAGGGCAGACTCCCCCTTGTTCAGCCCCCTCCCAGGCCTGTCCTGCCCACTGGACAAGTGGCACCCCCCTCCCCAGCAGGTGCAGCGCCTGCCCGCTGGGGCTACGCGTGGCAGCACAGGCCGTGGGGCAGGGCATGGGGGCGAGTGCTGTTTCATCTGCAGGAGTCGGGTGGGGGGGCCCTCCTCTCCGGCAGGGGTGGGGCCCTCCCGCAGGCTCAGGAGAGCGGGGGTATGGGCTAACCTGCACTAGCGTCCTCTCGAGCCCCTCCCGCGTCCGAGGCCCACTCCTTCCCTATCAGAGCCTCAGCTGGATGCAGGAAACTTCATGGCAGTGAGTCCAGCCCACTTAAGTTCTGGGGCTTGGACATCCCAGCATGGTCTCCAGCGAGCTGTCCGGGCCGCCGGACAGGGCATCTCCACACTGTGCCTTGGGCTGCCACCTTGCAGCGCTGAGTCTGGGGCCAACCACGGCCACCCAGAGCCACGGTCCCAGGGAAAACCCACAACCTACACCCTCTCCAGACACTCCTGAGGCGAGGGGCTCAGTAACCAGGGTTTCGCGTGTCAGGGACCTATGACACGCCTTGGATCTGGCCAGTGCGGGACCAGCTCCAGTTCCCAGCCGGAGACTCTGCTTCTCGAGACCACCCCTGCCGCCCACCTTCTTAGGCAGGTCCCGGAAGCAGACCCTCAGCTGGGTTTGTGACCAGGGTCCAGTGACCATGAGGACCCAGGGTGGAGGGGGTGTGGAGGAGCCGGCCCAGTGTAGCTTCTGGACCAGTCTGGCTCTGCAGACCCTGCGGCCGCCCCAGCACGGGGGTCGGGCGTCCCTCTGTCACTGGCTAAGGGGGGGTCACCAGGAGACCCCCGCTCCATGCGCTCTGGCCCCCTGGGGTAGAGTGGGCTCCTCAGAGAGCCAGGGAGGGAGAAGGCAGGCACACGGGAGCAACAGACCGGGGATGCCCGGGGAACCTCCCTGCAGGATGCGAGGGAAGCTGGCAGGCGCTCACTCGTGTCTCTTTCTGACTAACAGGAGAATGACTACCTTCAGGACTGCCTTGACGCCATCCAGCAGGACTTTGTGATTTTTAACAGAGAGAAGTGAGTGTGCGTGTTGGGGGCCAGTAATGGGGCAGAAAGGAGTTTGGGGAGTGGGCCAAGGCTTTCTGGCCACAGCAGGCACATGGCCTCAGTGGGGCTGGGAAGCCTGACCCCCGCCCTCCTCAGGGAGTCCAAGCAGCAGCCCTGGGGGGCGGGGGAGGCCCCTGTGCAGGCTTGCTGGGGAGGGGCTCGTCGGCACTTTAAGGTCTAAGCTTGGGCATTTTCCACCAACGGCCAGAGTCTCTGGGCAGGCCCTGGGTGCCCCGCCCAGGTGAGGGGCCCCAGCTGTTACATCGACCCACCCCCCGGCCACTCGGGGCAGGGGCAGGAAGGGCGGGGCTCCCTGGCAGGAAGATATGACAGGCCTCAAAGAGCTGAGCCACCTGCCATGGCCCAGTGCTGTGGACGCTGGGGGAGGAGGGGTGGGATGAGATGCGGAGGACTTCCTGGAGGTGGTGGCCCTGGTCTAATAGCCGAACAGGATTCACTGCTGCTCTGTCCTGCCTCAGTGGCCAGGATGACATGTGGACCCTGGTTTAGGACACTGGCCACCACCCTGGAGGTCAAGGCATGGGTGGTGATGGGACTCAGCCAAGCACTTTGTTCCAGAATTCCTGACCTGCCTCTTTTTAGCTTCTGGCTGGAAACCAGCTGAGACCCACCAGCCTGCTGCCCCGAGCCCGAGGGCCGTGAAGAGCCCACAGAGGGGCCGGCTGGATGCCCCGTGTGCCTGCATGCCCCACTGAGCCAGTATGGCCAGAGGGGCTTCTACCCAAGCGGAGATGCCCAGGAGTGGTCTGTGTGGAGCCCCAGGCCGTGTTCCTGTGGGGGTGTACCCTGGGAGACCCGGACAGGCCCTGGGCCAGCGAGCGGCGTCCCGGGCCACTGGCGAGGCTGCATAAAGCCCCCATGTGTCTCCCCAGGCTGAAGAGGAGCCAGGACCCCACGCCCGAGCCCGGGGACGCGGCGGAGGCCTCGGCGGACAGCGACGGCGTGCGCTCGGCCTTGCCCACCTGCGGCGCCATCTGCCCCTCAGCCGGGAGCAGCTAGGCCGCCCCTGCCCGCTGCCCGCGGAGTCAGCTCAGGCCCCACCGGAGACCCGAGGCCTCCACAGGGATGGGGAGGCCGGAGGCCCAGGGTCGACTTTCCCAGGGAGCTGCCCAGCGTGTCCAGGCCCAGGCCGGCGGCACCCAGCTGGACAGCACCGGATGGTCTGACTGCTGGGTCTGCCCTCTGGCCCTCGGGGCACGTGGTGTCAAGAGGCTGCCGATGTGGCTGAGAGTGGGCGGCACAGAGGGTGGGCGCCCCCCCGCGTGACGGTGGAGGGGGCCGCAGGCCCTGCCCAGACTTTCCTGGGGGTCCTCTGGGGTCCTGTCCCGCCCGCTGTACATAAACCGCCCCCGCCAGCCCGCGCTCCGCCTGGTTCTTGTCCATTACGGGGGAGGGGCATGGGCCTGAAGAGTGTTTTATAGACACACACGTTCTGGTCATTTCTGCCGTGTTCCTGTATAGTTTCCACCTCTGAGAAAAACAACATGAGAACCGATTGGTGTCGGGTGGTTTGCATGTTCTGTTCCTGCCGTGGGTACAGAACGCTTGTCTGTGACCGGGGCGTTCCTGCCGGGCCAGAGCCTTCTGGAGCTCCGGTCCTCGGCGTGGGGAGGATGCCCGCCACCTGCCCCAGAAACCCCGAGGCCGCTGTTGGGTTGGGGTGGAGGTGCAGCCTGCTGGGGGGCAGGGGCAGAACCCTTGAAAACAGCAGGGACCGGAACACCCCAGGTTGGAGCAGCTCACGGGTCCCCCTCACCCAGAATGGGGTGCCCACGTGGGCCCCAGACCACTGGGGAGCCCGGGTCTAGAGGCGGCAGCGCCGCGGGACGCCCAGAGGCGGTGCCAACCCCGAGAGAGAGTTCTGGGTGGAGACCAGGCAATGTCGGAGGCGGAGCTGGGCGGGGCGGGGCTGCGCGGAAGGAGGCGGGGCTGCGCCGGAGCAGGGCGGGGCTGCGCCGGAGCAGGGCGGGGCTGCGCGGAAGGAGGCGGGGCTGCGCCGGAGCAGGGCGGGGCTGCGCGGAAGGAGGCGGGGCTGCGCCGGAGCAGGGCGGGGCGGGCGTTGTGTAGAAAGCCGTGTTTCCTGTGTTTTTGTGTGCACACCTCAGGTGCGTTTTGAGGCCCTAAGGGACAGCGTGCCTGTTTGTGAGTCACTGGCCGGCCTGCGGGTGTGGTCTGGCCCCCCGACTGCCTTGTCTGTCCCTGGGGAAGGGGCCGCTGGTGCAATGAACGCTGGTTTCAGAACAACCCCAGGAGCACTGTCTGCGGGTTCGGATCAGAACCCCGGCCTGCTCCGCCTTAACTGGGCAGGATGCAGGCCATGCCTTGTCCCCCACTGCCCGTTGGAGGTGTGAGCTCCCCACGCGCTGTACTGCCCCAAGCCCTGCTGGGCGGCTTGCGCCCAACTAGAACGTGGGTAGGGGTCCTCCCAGGGACCCTCTCCTTCTGGGCGTCTGGCTCTCTGTGACCTGCAGACCAATGGGAGGCAGAGCTCCTGCCCACAGCTCAGACCCAGCCCTGCCCCTGCCCGGCAGGCCTGGCCCGGCCAGCCCTGCAGTCATCTGGTGGCCCGGCCTCCCAGCCGTCTAGAGGCAGGACCAGGGGGCTGCAGGGTGTTCCTGAGGGTGCCGCACACGAACCCCTGGGGGATGGCGTAGGGGCAGAGAAGTCGGGGCTCTCCACACGCCAGTGGCTTCCAGTCCAGATGCCTTTAATCAACCCGGTTCCACGGGACTGGGGCCGCTGGGCTGCGGGCGGCATGCAGGTTCCTGGCTAGAGTGCCCTCAGCACACAAGACGGCTTCTCTAATCAACTACTGGGAACACATGTTGTAGGAGAAGGAAGCACTCAGCTCCGGGCCCCCGGGGCCCCTGGAGGAGGAAGGGCTCTATGGACGGCGTGGGGGTCTGGTCCCTGGGAAGTCTGAGAAGTGCAGCTGCCCCACACGGCATCCCTTGGGCCCCTGAAGTCACAGCAACTTGGGCGGGGCCGGGATGGCAGCTGAGTCGGGGTCTCCCCGGGGCGGTGACTCGAGTCGGGGACGAGGGCACCATGACCCCCGCCTTCCATCCTGGGCATTCCCGGAGGTCCCTGCCTTCCGAGGTCCCCGGGCTCAGGGCCCCCTGAGCTGCCCCCGCCAGCACGCCCAGCCCCTCTGCCTGCCCTGGCAGTGAAACCGCCCCCATTCAGCCTCTCCTGCGGGGGCTCCCTGTAACAGGCCGTGGGACCCCAAGGGGAGAGGTTCTGGGAAGGGGAAGGGGAGGCCAAGCACCTTACAGAGTGGGTTCAAGGAAGGGAGGGAAGGTCGCGGGGCCGGCCGCCCGCGGCAGCACCTAGGACAGCGACGTGATGTGGGAGCGGCCGCCGGGGGGCGCCATGATCTTCTGGGCCGTGCGCCGCGCGATGTGGTCGTCAGCCTGCGAGCCTGCGGGAGGGTGGGATGGAGGCGGTGCTGGGGGCACGCAGACCCGCACGCCACACCCTGGGGGCCAGGGCTGCAAACCCCACGCTCCCGGAAGGCCTGGCGGCTCCCCCACCGAGGCCTCAGACGAGCAGGCTGGTGAGGCCAGGTGCGCCTGCAGCCAGAGCCTGCAGGTCAGGGTTGGCCCTCCGGAAAGCCTGTCTGGAGGGGCACAAGCCAGGCCAGCCCCAGCGTCCCTCCTCTGGGTCTCACCCTGCACGGGCCCTGAGATGAGAGAAGGCTGGCGCCAGCCTTCAGTACAGGCTGGGTTCCTGGAGGCCGGCGGGGACTGGACGCCAGGGGCTGGGTCAGCCCCCAGTGGGCAGGGAGGCCTGGCTCTGTCTCTAGGGCCTCCCTGCAAACCCACAGCCCAGACCCTGAAAGCAGGGGCTCGAGCTGGCGGCTGCAGGTGAACCCCTGAGACTCCAGCCCCCTTTCCTGGGCACCTCACGTGAGATGCGGGGGCTGGGGGTTGGACGTGGTCCTCAGGGCCCTGAGGAGACCGAGCACCCCAGGCTCCACTCACCGGACAGGCTGAACCCCGACTGGTGCAGGTTGCGGAAGGGGGGCATGGAGATCTTCCCGGGGCAAGACGCACGGGCCTGGGCGCCACCCCCCGGCTTGGTGGGCGCCATCACCTCATGGACCGGCCCGTCGTAGAGGCCTCGGGGGACACCATGGATCTCCGCCAGCTGGGGGCCGAAGGGCTCGGTGTGAGGGGTGCTGAGCCAGCCTCGGGCTTGAGGGCAGGGCCCTCCACCCCCAGCGGTGTCCACCTGCGCGTGTAGACGCACACCCTCCTCCCCCAAGGCGGGCGGCGTGCTGAGGGCGGTCTGGGGTTGCGGGGTTGCGGGGTGGCGGGCAGGGCAGCCTGAGACAGCAGCGCCTGCGGGTCAGAGTGGCTCCGCTCCCACCCTGGGGAGGAGCCGATGCCGGCCCCAGACCTGCCCAGGAGCGGTCCTTCCAAATACAAGTTCAGACAATGTCGTCCTAGACTAGTGGGAATGGGGCTGAGATAAAGCCAACCCGCGCGTGCAGTCACCACACGTGCATGTGCGGCTGGGCCTGTGTGTCCCCGTGCGCACACGTGAACCGCCTGCACATGTGTGCAGGGCCTGGACAAACACCTGCGAGCCTGCCGGACACAGCGGGCCGCTGGCCAAGCCCCAGTGACAGACAAGGGCTCACGGACGCTGTCTACGCGTCCCATTCTCCTTCCTGAGTTCACTGAAGGGCAGGTCTGCTCCAGGGAAATGCTGGATGACCTCTGCTAGGCAGGGTGGCCGTGTCCCTAGGGGCGGCCACTCGGGGTTTCCTTGGCCTCACGCCCGCACTCTCTGCAGTGGCGTGGGCGGCCTGGTCACGAACGTGGGCGAGGAACCACCCGGAACGGTGAGGCCACTGTGCCTTCCCGACAGCAGGGCGGCCAGGAGCAGGCTGACCGTGAGCAGGCCTGAGGGCCCTGCCCGCCCGCCCACCGGCCCGGCTCAGGCTCACCCGGTTGCGGGCCTTTATCCTCTTGTAGACAAAGTCAGGGAAGGTCTTGCGCGGGATGAAGCGTCCGGTCCCGGGGGTGACGCACAGGGCCCCGTCCTCCAGCACAACCCGGCCCTGACTGATGACCACGCTCGGGGCTCCTCGGCACTCCAAGCCCTCGAAGATGTTGTACTCCACGTTCTGGGGGGACAGCGGCCCTCTGAGCCAGTGGGAGGCCCTGGCACTGCTCAGAGTCTCCGGAGCCAGGGCCCTGGCGGGGAGCGTCCACTCGGCTGGGTTGGGGTTCGGAGGGGGTGGTCGTGCCTGCACCCCTGGCCCCTCGGGAACATCTCCCGGGGGCACAGAGCAGGTGAGCTCTCCCCCTAGACAGGGCCCCCTGCCCCCGCTGGCCCTGCCAGTCCCAGGACATCCAGGATGGCTGCAGGGTGCCCCCAGACCCCTAGATGGCCTCCACGTGGGACCGGCTTCTCTCACCAGGTTGTGGCTCTTGGCAGAGATGATTCTCGTGGCCCGGGGGTTCCATATGACCAGATCGGCGTCGGAGCCCACGGCCACCCGCCCCTTCCTCGGGTAAAAGTTGAAGATTTTGGCCGCGTTTGTACTGGTCACGGCAACGAACTCGTTCTCGTCCATCTGCCCCGAGGCCTGAGAAGCAAGAAGGTGGGGTGAGGGGCGCCCCTCCCCAGCCACACGCAGGGTCTGGTCTCCAGGCTCTCGTGTGGATGTGGCTGCCCTCCAGGCTGAGGGCAGCGTGCCTCAGCCAGGCCTACAGGTCTGGTCCTCCCCGGGCACCGAGCCCATCTCCACGCTCGCTTTGTGGGCAAGTGAACGCTGATGTCTCCACAGTGACATCTGTCCCCAGAGAACGTGACTGGCCCTTGGTGGTGGCCAGGAGCCTGGGGTCAGGGCCTCAGCCCAGGGGGAGGGCTCAGGGCCACGGGTGGGGGCACGGGAGTGGAGGCCCCAGGTGAGACAGACGTCTGGGGGAACCTCGGTCCTCCTGGGGAGACGCTGCAGAGTGTAGGAACCCCCTGTGCCCAGAGCTGGTGTATCAGGACAAGGGCAGGGCCTGGCTGCACGGAGTCTTCTCCAGGGGACCAGAGCAGAATGTCTGGGGACCCCAGGGTGACCAGGCTGGGGAGGGGGACAGCCTTGAGCCTGCCTGCCCCGAGCTCCACTCCACCTGGTGAATTTGCTTCTCAAGGGGCCTCCGTTTGTGGTCCCGCCAGCTCCTCCCGTGGGGAGGGGTCCCCGTGGCCATGCGTGTGCACCCACCACACACTTCTCCCAGACCACGGACATGCGCTCCTCCACGCCATTGGTGCCCTCGGGGATGAGCGTGAAGTTGTCTCTGCCGACGGCCTTCTGGGCGGTGGTGAAGGTGCAGTGGGCGCTGCCGGTCACCTGGAGGTCCCCGCTGCAGAGAGCCGGGGTCACAGAGGCCCAGGGGGCCTGTCCTCCCTGGGCACTCCCAACCCACGCCCGGCCACGAGGCGGAGGGTGCCCACAGGGCAGGGCCGGAAGGTGGGGCGGGCTCCCTGGACGGCAGGGCAGGGCCCAGGGGCTCCCTACCTGGACAGCAGGGCGGTGAGGTGGTCCGCGGTGCTGGGGTCCGGGTTGACGGGGGGCGACGTGACAAACGCGGCCGCCTTGGCCCAGTTCTTGCTCCAGTAGTGCGAGCCGTCCGCGCCCAGGCCAGCGGTGATGGGCTCCCCGAACACCACCACCCCTGCGACGAGGTGTGAGCTGCACCGTGGCCGCGCGACCCCCTGCCCCCCAGGCTGGGCCAGGCCTCCCACTGCGCCACGGGACCCCCCGCCCCCCGGGCTGGGCCAGGCCTCCCACTGCACCACGGGACCCCCCGCCCCCCGGGCTGGGCCAGGCCTCCCACTGCACCACGGGACCCCCCGCCCCCCGGGCTGGGCCAGGCCTCCCACTGCGCCGCGGGACCCCCCCCCCGCCCCCCTGCCCCCCCGGGCTGGGCCAGGCCTCCCACCGCCCACCAGGCCCTGCCCCTCAGCTTCCTGACTGCGAGGGCTGCTCCCCACCCACGGCACCGCCCAGGGCTCCCGCGGGGCCGCTGGCCCCCCCCTCACCCCTGCCAGGCACAGACACACCAGCCGCCCCGCCTGCCCAGGACCTGCCTCCCCCACAGCCCAGAGGGCACCCGGGCCGGCCCCACACCCGCCCCCACCCAGGAGGTGTCCAGGGAGCGGCAGCTCGGCCCAGGGGTCAGCTGGGTGAGGCTTCTCACACAACCCGAGGGTGCAGGCTTACACACCACACCACACACAGCATACACCCCATACACACACCACATACACACAGAGAGACACACACCACGTAAGCGCGCAGACACACACACAATATACAAACCGTATACACAGACACACACAGACCCACATCACATCAGCACCACACACACACATCCCCCATGTACACACCATATACACACATCACGTAAGCACCACACCAGACACACACACACACAGCTCTGACACCCAGTTCTATGCAAACGGGGCCCCTAAGCCCCACGTATGACTCAAGGCCCCGCGTCAGGCCCCACTGCTGTCTGGACAAGAGGGAGCCTCAGGTGCCCCCACAAGCCACACCCGCGCCCCTCTTTCGAGGCCCCTGAGGAGGCCGGCAGGCCCGCGGCGTCCCCATGGGGTCGCTCTGTGCCGCTCTGGGGGGCTGTGGACGGAAGCGACCCCCGAGCCCCTCCCTGGCCAGCACCCACCTCGCCGCTTGGCCCGGGCGATCACGTCGGCTGCGGGCTTGCTCATGACCTTGGTGACATACAGGGGGCAGCTGGCCTGCCTGGCGATGGTGACGGCGCGGTACACGGCCTCAGCTTCCACCTACAGACGGGCTGCTCAGGCCACGCGAGGGCCGGGGCTCCTGACCACAGTGAGCCCGTGATGCCCCAGCCACCCACGGATGTCTGGCCCAGAGGGGCACCCGGGGGCCAGGATCCTGGCCTGGGGCTCCAGTCCCGAATCTGCGCTGGCCCACCCTACCCTAGAGCAGACCGCGTTGCCCTCTGAGCCTCGCATGCAGGCCTCAGCGTGGCCAGCGGAAAGGGGGCTGGGAGCCCTGACTCACACCCCCAGGCTAGGACAGTGGGGTCACAGTCCTGCCTGTCCCTGGACCCAGCCCACCCCCAATGAAGGCCCATTGAGGGGTGCCCCGCAGGTTCGCACCTACCTCCTCGGGGTGGCTGAGCACGTGGCCCTCGGGACCGGTGACACCGAGTTCCAGCAGCCGCTTCTGCTCCTAAACACACACCTCGTTCCAGCCCAGCCTCGGAGGACCTTGCGGGGCTGCAGTCCACAGCCCAGGACACTTGGCCCTGAGACCTCAGAATCACCCACCCCGGAGCACTTGGGGGGAGCAGAAGGGTCGCACTCTGAAGGGGGTGACTCCAGCTCCCCGAATTATGGACGAGGGAGCCCCAGGGCTGCGGAGGGCCAGACATGCCCGGGGGCGCAGGCCTCCTGAGTGAGGACAAGGCCCCCCAGCCTCACCTCCTGCTGCTTCCCCAGCGGGTGTGTGCACGGGGTGTGCACGCACAGAGGCATTCACAGCCGGGGTGTGCATGCATGGGGCGGCCTTGGGGGCTCTGCACAGCCAGGGGTGGGGCCGCCTTAGGCTGGTTCACCCCCAGGTCTGAACACAGCACCCGCCGGTGTGAACGAACTCTGGGTGGAGAACGGGGGAGGAGCCGATCCCAAACAAGCCCTCCCCCAGCACGCACCTCCCACCCTCCTGTACTTGGGGTGTGCCTCCTCCCAGCCCAGCCCCCCACCCTGGAGACACACGCAGCTTGCACTGCCTTGAACGCCACAGGACCCCTGGTGAACTTCGGAGTCAGAGAGGCCAGTGGGTCCCTGGAAACTTCTCTGTGAGTCTGGAATATCGGGGCGGAGGCTGTGTGTGTGACCCCCCCCAGACCCCCAGGCAGCTGGGAAGCTCCCCAGCACCCCCTTCCACCGCCCGGCCCCTGTGGGCACTGAGGCTGGTGGGCAAACAGGGGGGCAGAGGCCTGGGCTTGTGGGGAAGGTGGGGCATGGGCAGAAGGGCCAGGGCCACCCCAGGCAGCGGCCTCGACTGAGGACTGGGCCACGAACCCCACAGGTGCGCCCGTGGGCAGAAGGAACAGCTCTAGGGGGCCCAGTCCTGGGCCAGAGGGCACGGGAACCCACCTCTGTGCCCCCTCCCACCCCAGGAAACAACACCTTGGTTTTGGAGAATTTAAGGTCAGACGTGTGAGGATGGGGGAAAACCTGCTGTATCCAAGAGTCGGCAGGCTCCCAGCACCCTACCTGCCTGGCCTTCCTCCTGGGCTAGCTATCCCCCCGGGCCAGATTCCAGGTCCCCTCCCCCGGGTTTGTGGATCTGCGCTCGCGGGGCCAAGGGCAGGGGTCACCCCACCAGCCCCACCTCGTCCACGATGTCCCCGTTCTCCGCGTGCACTTGGGCCAGGGCCCCCAGGTCCCGGATGACACTGAAGATCTCATACATCTGGGGAGACAGACACAGGCGGACCACGTGGGGCTGAGGCCCCGCCCCCCAGCGCCTGTGGAGCCTGCCCCCCCACTTCAGGACCACGTGAGGCTGAGGCACCGCCCCCACCCCACCTCAAGACCACGTGAGGCTGCGGCCCTGCGCCCACCTCAGGACCACTTGGGGCTGAGGCCACGCCCCCCAGCACCCATGGAGCCTGCCTCACCCCCTGCAGCACAAGTGGGGCTCAGGCCCCGCCCCCCACCTCAGGACCACGTGGGGCTCAGGCCCCGCCCCCACCTCAGGACCACGTGGGGCTGAGGCCCCGCCCCCCACCTCAGGACCACGTGGGGCTCAGGCCCCGCCCCCCACCTCAGGACCACGTGGGGCTGAGGCCCCACCCCCCACCTCAGGACCACGTGGGGCTCAGGCCCCGCCCCCCACCTCAGGACCACGTGGGGCTGAGGCCCCATCCCCCACCTCAGGACCACGTGGGGCTCAGGCCCCGCCCCCCACCTCAGGACCACGTGGGGCTCAGGCCCCGCCACCCACCTCAGGACCACGTGGGGCTGAGGCCCCGCCCCCCACCTCAGGACCACGTGGGGCTGAGGCCCCGCCCCCCACCTCAGGACCACGTGGGGCTCAGGCCCCATCCCCCACCTCAGGACCACGTGGGGCTCAGGCCCCGCCCCCCACCTCAGGACCACGTGGGGCTGAGGCCCCGCCCCCCACCTCAGGACCACGTGGGGCTCAGGCCCCGCCCCCACCTCAGGACCACGTGGGGCTGAGGCCCCACCCCCCACCTCAGGACCACGTGGGGCTGAGGCCCCATCCCCCACCTCAGGACCACGTGGGGCTCAGGCCCCGCCCCCCACCTCAGGACCACGTGGGGCTGAGGCCCCGCCCCCCACCTCAGGACCACGTGGGGCTCAGGCCCCGCCCCCCACCTCAGGACCACGTGGGGCTGAGGCCCCGCCCCCCACCTCAGGACCACGTGGGGCTCAGGCCCCGCCCCCCACCTCAGGACCACGTGGGGCTCAGGCCCCGCCCCCCACCTCAGGACCACGTGGGGCTGAGGCCCCGCCCCCCACCTCAGGACCACGTGGGGCTCAGGCCCCATCCCCCACCTCAGGACCACGTGGGGCTCAGGCCCCGCCCCCCACCTCAGGACCACGTGGGGCTCAGGCCCCGCCCCGCAGCCCGCAGAGCCTGCCTGCCCCGCCCCCCCACCTTGGCTCCGGGCTTTACCTGGCTGTCCGTGCACTGGTACCTGTCCTTGTATGCCATGAAGACCAGGAAGGAGTTCACACCTGCGGGGAAGCAGGAGGGGTCAGGGGCCAGGAGCCTCCCTGGCATTTGGGTTGCCAGGTGAGGGTGGTCTCTCCCAAGGGCCTCACCAGCTGGCCTGGCGGACCTTGGGCATCGGCCCCACACACTCCAGACCAGCCCACACTGGGGCAGAGACATCCAAGCCCCCCAGCTCCTCAAACCTGAGGTCAGGAACCAATTGCTACCTAGCAGCAAAACAGGTGAGAACCCGCACAACCCTCCCTAATGCACCCCACACCCACTATCGCTAACCCCCCATGGCCCCTAACACCCCCCCACCCCATCACTAACCCCCCATGGCCCCTAACACCCCCCCTACCCCATCACTCACCCCCTACGGCCCCTAACACCCCAACCCACCCCATCACTAAACCCCCACGGCCCCTAACACCACAACCCACCCCATCACTAACCCCCACGGCCCCTAACACCCCAACCCACCCCATCACTCAGCCCCCACGGCCCCTAACACCCCAACCCACCCCATCACTCACCCCCACGGCCCCTAACACCCCCCCACCCCATCACTAAACCCCCATGGCCCCTAACACCCCCCCACCCCATCATTCACCCCCAACGGCCCCTAACACCCCAACCCACCCCATCACTAACCCCCCATGGCCCCTAACACCCCAACCCACCCCATCACTAACCCCCCATGGCCCCTAACACCCCAACCCACCCCATCACTAACCCCCCATGGCCCCTAACACCCCAACCCACCCCATCACTAAACCCCCACGGCCCCTGACACCCCAACCCACCCCATCACTAACCCCCCATGGCCCCTAACACCCCCCCCACCCCATCATTCACCCCCCACGGCCCATAACACCCCAACCCACCCCATCACTAAACCCCCACGGCCCCTGACACCCCAACCCACCCCATCACTAACCCCCACGGCCCCTAACACCACAACCCACCCCATCACTAACCCCCACGGCCCCTAACACCCCAACCCACCCCATCACTCAGCCCCCACGGCCCCTAACACCCCAACCCACCCCATCACTCACCCCCACGGCCCCTAACACCCCCCCACCCCATCACTAAACCCCCACGGCCCCTAACACCACAACCCACCCCATCACTAACCCCCACGGCCCCTAACACCCCAACCCACCCCATCACTCAGCCCCCACGGCCCCTAACACCCCAACCCACCCCATCACTCACCCCCACGGCCCCTAACACCCCCCCACCCCATCACTAAACCCCCATGGCCCCTAACACCCCCCCACCCCATCATTCACCCCCAACGGCCCCTAACACCCCAACCCACCCCATCACTAACCCCCCATGGCCCCTAACACCCCAACCCACCCCATCACTAACCCCCCATGGCCCCTAACACCCCAACCCACCCCATCACTAACCCCCCATGGCCCCTAACACCCCAACCCACCCCATCACTAAACCCCCACGGCCCCTGACACCCCAACCCACCCCATCACTAACCCCCCATGGCCCCTAACACCCCCCCCACCCCATCATTCACCCCCCACGGCCCCTAACACCCCAACCCACCCCATCACTAAACCCCCATGGCCCCTAACACCCCCCCTACCCCATCACTCACCCCCTACGGCCCCTAACACCCCAACCCACCCCACCACTCACCCCCCACGGCCCCTAACACCCCCCCACCCCACCACTCACCCCCCACGGCCCCTAACACCCCAACCCACCCCATCACTAAACCCCCACGGCCCCAACACCTCCCCACCCCACCACTCACCCCCCACGGCCCCTAACACCCACCCACCCCATCACTAACCCCCCACGGCCCCTAACACCCACCCACCCCATCACTAACCCCCCACGGCCCCAACACCTCCCCCCACCCCAGCACTCACTTCCCATGGCCCCTAACCCCCCGCCCCATCACTAACCCCCACTGCCCCAACCCCCACTGTGCCCTCGCCCCATCGCCCCCCCTCACTAACAGCCCCCATCACTGCCCCCTGCCCCAGCAGCTCGGGGGTGGGGTGATGGCTGCAGGTGCCCGTTTGGACCTCTGCTCTGAGCTGCCAGGCTGCAGACCCCCAGGCTAGGGAGGGAAGGACCCAGGAGGCACAGCTGCTGCCTGGTTGAGGCCCCCGCCTGCCCCTGGGTGAGGGCTCCTGAGTGCCAAAGGTCATGGGCCTGAGGTCCATCACTCTGGGGAAAATGGCCTGGAGGAAACCTCCCTGCCTCCATCTCCCGGGCTGAGAGAGCAGTAGTCTCCTGTCCTGGCCCGGACTCTGACGCCAGCACCCCTATCCCAGGTCCCATCCCTGCCGGCCCCTCTGACCCTGACCTTCCACTCCTGGCTGTGAGCTGAGACCACACTCAACGCTGATCACCAGAGGTCAGTTACAGCATCCACCTAACTTTCCTTCAGATCCACCATAAACTTTGATGTGGTTTTAGCTTCAGGACTTTTGATTTAAAAAAATGTTTAAGCCTGTTTATAAACCGCCCTATTTGTGCTGAGGCAGCAGTAGAGGACTGAGTTTTAAGGCGTCTCCTTCTAGAGGATCTTCAGGGCTAAGAAGGCTGATCATGCTTTCCCTTTCCCCAGGCCCAAGACACACGGGGGCCATGGTGACAGCTGTGTCTCCGTGTCCTCTTGTGAAGAAAACGGCCCCAGGATGCGACCCCCAGGTGCGGGCACAGCTGACCTCTCAGCCCAGCAGATCTTCAAATGGCTCTGTCCAACGTACCGCACGCCTGGCCGCCTGCCCTGGAGTCGGACGGATGCAGCGTCCGCCTGAACCCAGAAGCCCAGGCCCTGCAGCCGCCCCTCCGCCCGGCCGGCCCGCTGCTCACCCTTGTCCCTGACCAGGGCCTCCAGCTCCTCCCTGGTGCTCTCGTGCCAGCGGGGGATGTCCACGTGCAGGGAGTAGTCGCAGCAGGCCCCGCCGTCCGCTCGCTCCCGCCACTGCTCGTAGGCCGCCAGCAGGCTTACCCCCGCCTCGGGGAACACGTGGTCCACTGCGGGGACAGCACGCTCAGCTAAGTCCCCCACTCTGGCCACCGCGACCGCCTGGGTCTCCAAGGGAGAGTGGCTTCGTGCTCCCCAGACCAGGAGGCACGTTTGAGGAAAGCAGAGGACAGACCTCGAGCCTTATGTGGGGCTGGGGCTGCCGGGAGCTGTCCATCCGTCCTGCCCCTTGTCCCCAGCCTCTCCCTGGGCAGAGAGGGGCCCCTGGCTCCCCAGAGGACGCACCCCCAAAGAGCCTGGCCCGAGTGAGGTGCGCCTGGCGGGCGGGGGTGGGGTGTCGTGCTGTCCACGGTGCTGAACCTGCGAGCCTGCCCACATGCCTCACTGACCATGCACACCAGGGAGAGTCCCCTCCTGCCCTGGAGAACCAGGGAGAAGCACATGGATGCTGCACTGTCCCCCCAGCCCCGCCATCAACCCTGTGTCCACGGTCCACACCCCACTCACAACCTCTGCAAGGTGCAGGAAGAGAGCTGGGAGGGGTGGCTGGTGGGAGGGCACGCCCGAGGTTACAGGTGGACTTCGTGCCTCCCCGCACACCCCTCAAGCGGGCTCCTCTGCCTCCCACGGCTCTGGTGCACACGCTGTCCTGTGGGCACTCATGGCTACAGCCCCGCGGAGGCCAGCCCATGCCTGCAGCACCTCCATCCTCACAGCCCGTCTGACACCTCTGCGCCAGCAGGAGATGCAACCAGGAGGGCATCCCGCTCAGCCCAGGCGCCCCATGACTAGCAGGACCAAGGGCCTGGAACGAGAGTGCGCCCTCATCAGACCGGAGGGCGGACCGCTGCTGGGTTTGGCCCCTTTGTAGCTCAGGAAGCCACACCGGGCCGGGGTGCCGCAGCGCCTGCCGTCGCCTGTGAAGTCACCCTGAGCACCCGGAGCAGCCCTTCCCAGGAGGCAGTGGCAGTGCCCCCCCGTGTGCCCGCGTGCAGCCTGGCAACCACAGGCCCCCGCTTGTTCCACCCTCCCTCCTGCCCAAGCCCCTGCCCCCTGCCTCCTGCCCAAGCACACAGGGAAGCATGACGTCTAACCATGCGCTGTTTGAGGTCACCGCCAGGACGCGGTGCAGCCAGGGTTGGACCAGGTCCAGCCCGAGCGGAGGCACCTGCCCTGGGCGCCGTGGAGCTGACGGGTCTCAGGGAAGGAGAGGGGCTAAACGCTGGTGTCCTGTCTGAGCTCCTGAACTGACCACGAGCAAATTCAGGGTGGGAAGTGAACCCCTCACAAGCTGTGAACTGGGCTTCTCTGCCTTGCACGGAGCTGAGGCACATCAGAACGGGGCTTGTGCCTGGCATGGGGCCTCTGGGGGTTGTTGATCGGATAAGAGTATTTTTATCATCCTTTCTCTAAAACACCGCCTCCACCGTCTTTAGCTCTTCTGCACGCTAGCAGGTGGCTTCTGCAAACCAAGCCTGAGAGGGGGCGAGGTTCCGGGGCATATGTGTCTGGCAACACCACCCCTGAACCTGCCCAAGGCACTTGGGTTTTCCAAACCAGGTCCTTGGCCAGCTGCTGGCTTCCTAGGAAATAATAAACTATGGGCACATTCCCATGGAAACCCCAGAAGGGCTCCAGCGCTGGCCAAGGCAGCACACTCGGGCTGAGGAACTGGGCTGGGTATAGCTGCTCAGCCCTTCTCAGGGTGCGTGCAGTCAAGAGGAACTACAGCTGGTTCAGGTTGAGGTTTTTACAGAAAACAGCAAAATTCTGTAAAGCAATTATCCTTCAATAAAAAATAAATACATTTTTAAAAAGAGAGAGAAAACCAGCCTGAGAACATTCCACCAGGGAAGGTGCTTCCTGCGACATGCAAACCCGCCAAGGCCTGAGGCTGGGACGGACCCCCCACCCCCGGCCACGAACAGCACTCACATATCATGGTGGTGCCCCCCGCCAGGGCGGCCTTGGTCCCCTGGCAGAAGTCATCGGCGGGGGTCATGCCCAGCACGGGCATCAGCAGCCGCGTGTGGACGTCGACTCCGCCTGGCAGGACCAGCAGGCCGTGGGCATCGATGGTTCTGATGCCCCCAGGGACGATGAGGTTTTCTCCAATTTGTCTGAAAGCAACAGAGATTCTGCTGGTGAGGAAGATCCCTGAGAGAACGTGAATGGGGCCCCTGGCAACGCTGCGGAGCTGGGACGCCTGCCCTTGGGCTCCCATCCTGGAAGCGAAGGGCAATACAGCCAAGGCCTAACTGGACCCGCTCCCGACACCGCTGGAGAACAAGCCAGCCCCAGGGGCTCAGGACGGTCAGCACGAAGGATCCCACCCTGTGCTGGCCACTTAGGCGTCCACTTGCGGCCTTGCTGACCGGAGGCTGGAGCTGCCTGACAGATACGAGCAGAGAAACGAAAAGGTGTGGTCACTAAACATTTATTAAGCACCTACTGTGAGCCCACAGGTACTGAAGCTGTGATAACAGAGAAACGAGGAAGCCTCATCCTGCTCTCCGAGGCCTTGCTGAAGGCGCGGGAGGGGCTGGAGTTGTTTCCAGGGACCGTGGTTGTGGGAAAGAGAGAAACATTCACGCGGATCTCACCCAGAAGTAAGCTTCCGGGCAGCGAGTGAGCAAGGTGTACACAGGTGCCCCTGAAGAGGCAGAAACTCACTTTATCAGGCCGTCCTCCACATACAGGTCAGCGTGAAAGGACTGGTCATCGTTCACGATCCTCCCCCCTCTGATCAGGAGGCGGTCACTCTGTCAAAAACAAATGAATGGGGGCAAGTTTGCCCACACCGAGTGACCCAGCGGTATGCTGAGCACAAGCTTCCCTCTGAAGTCATGATGGACACCTTCACGTGTCTGTGTGTGTCCTGCGGACACCGTCTGTGCGTGTGAGACCAGCACAGAGCCTGCAGCGTTGACCACCTCACCCCGCGGTGGTGGCCCTCGGAGGCGGCTGCTCACAGGCCCCGCACGTGACACACACCCACAGTCAGGCGGACTGGCCTCACCTAAGACACGGCGCGAACGCCCAGCCGGCTTCCCGCGTCACCATGGCGAAGCCATGTCAGTGCGAGCAGCCGCGTGTCTGACCACGGCATGAGTGTTGCCCAATTTCTAAAGCCCAGGCCGAGGGGGCAGTGGGCCACATCTCGCTTGGCCCTGAGGGCCTGCAAGGCTGGCCCTTCTTGTCCACCTGCAGAGGCGGTTCCGGCTGACAACCGAGCCAAGCGCCTTCCAGAATCTCCATGGCCTGAGACAGTGCTGGGAGGCGGGGGTTAGAGCAGGCCCCGGCAGGCAGGGCCCCCCCGTGGGACAGCCGCATCGCAGTGGGGGGAGACAGACGTCACGCACGCAGCCGTCACAGGCGGTGACCCTCGTAAGCGCAGAGACAGGGGGACGCGTCGGGGCTGCTGCAGGGACCGGGAAGGGCCTCTCTGAGGAGTTTATGTGGCCGCGAGTCAGACCCAGGCCAGGGAGCAGCCGCGCAAAGGCCCGGGGCAGAGAGGAGCCGGGCTGGTACAGGACGGGGAGGTGGGGGGCGGGGGCGCTGGGGTGGGACATGCTGGGCTTGGGGGGTCAGCGGGCCACCACCAGCGCCTCAAGCTATGTCTTAAGTGCTTATAAAGAGATCACAGTGGCCTGGGTAGAAAGAGGCCCTCGTGTTCAAGGACAGACACAGGCCATGGCTGCAGTGGTGTCCGTGTGTCTGGATGAGATGCGGGGGCTTCCTGGCTGGGATCATGGGGTAGATGAGAGATGGACTCCAGAGAGGCTGAGAGTCGGGGGGGCAGGAGCTGATGATGGAGAAGCTATGGGGGTGCAGGCCAGGAAGACACTGGGGTGCTCGCCGGCTCTGGTGCCGCCTGGAGGTCGCCCCAAGGAGGCAAACAAATGTGTCAGGAAGTGCGGCTGTTAGGGGCACCCCCCGCCATGGAGCTGGGCCACCATCGGTCCACTTCTGACGGTTGGGATGGAAGGGAGATGGGGAGCCAGTCATGGACTGTGCAGGGTGCGGAGTGATAGCTGGGCCTCAGTGGAGCAAAATGGAGAGAAACGCAGAAAGGAAGGAGGTGGCCGAGAGCAAGATGACGGGTGAGGGCCCAGCCCTGCGGCACTTTCCCCCACGACCTTGAACCTCACACTCCCTGGGGCTCAGACAGCCGGAACCACAGCTGTTTCACGGGGGTCTGGCCCTGGCCTGGGGCTCCTGGGTGCCCACCCAAAGGCTGGGCTGGGACTCCAGCTGGGAGCTCTGGTTCTAAACCCAGTGTCAGCCTGAATCCAGAACGGAAGTGTGCAGGGCACTCAACAGCTCTCTCAGAGGCTGCTGAGAGGATAAATAATTCATGCTTATGAGCCAGAGCACATCACTCTATTCTTATTAGCATCTAACAGTTTGGGATGAATTCTCAGATTTCTATTGACTAAAAGTAGGACCTCCACCCCACAGTCTACAGAAGGGTGGCTGATGAGCCACAGGCCAGACGTGATCCCCAGCTTGTACAGTCTGCCCAGCCCTGCGCCAAGGATGGTTTGCATCTCATGTTGGCTGAAAGACATCATAAGAAGACTATATTGAGACTCATAAAAATTATATGAAATTCACATTTCAGCGCCCATAGCTCAACTTTACTGGAACTGCCGCACCCGTTCGTTCCCGAGTCACCTAAGATGGCTCTCCTGCTGGACTGGGGGCTGCACCAGAAGCAGTGTGGCCCTCGGAGCTGAGAGCACCCACTGGGTGCCCGCCGCCAGCGCTGGCCTACCCCGTCGCCCCGCCCCAGCAGCTGGGGCGTCTCCCTGCGGGGTCCTCAGGGGCTCACTGCCCAGCCTCCTGGGCCCCAGGCCGGACCCTGACCAGTCATATCACAAGGACCCACCTCGCCCAGCTCCTGAGCCAGTGTCAGAGCCTGGCTGCCTCCTCCTGCAGGGTCCCCACTCCGACACCCGACTCCACTCAAACACGCCCAAAAAGAGGAAGCGGAAGGCTTTGGGCAGGAAGACGATGGTCTGAGTCCCCATTCAATCCCCAGTTTTCTGACTTTGGGCACCTTGCCAGGTTTGGAGCCAAGAAAGGAATGCAGCGGCCCTCAGGACCAAAGTGACGGTCTCCTGACCTGGCCACCTGGCCTGTGACCTCTGACCCACCCAGAGGTGGGGCTACCCTCCCCACCCCGTCCAGCCCTAGTGGGCTTCCTGCATCAGGTCAGAATCTGGGCCAGTCCTGAGGCAGGACCCCCCCCCCTTTCTCCCTGAGTGTCTCAGGAAGTGAACTTGCAACCCCACGACCCTTCCCCGAAGCCAAGCGCAGAGCTGGGGCTGAATCCGCGGGTTCCCAGGGGCAGGCCGTCCCTGGGGGCCCCAGGCACCTCCCTCCCTCTGGCCCTCCCCTTCTCCCTCCCTCCCTGGGCTCCCAGCCGCCTGGAGGGGGCGGCTTTGTTTCCCGGCAGCCCAGCCTGGACAGTCGGACCTCCCCCAGCTGGGGCGGGTGGTGTTAGAGGGTCTTCTCCAGGGAGCCGAGCCGCCTGGGTGCCCGCTCAGTGACGAGGGAGCACTCTCCCCACCACCACCCGGGGCCGGGGGCCTCCAAACTCCAGCTCCAAGGAGGGTTGCAGGTGGCCAGGGGCTCCGGGGCTCCGGGGGGCTGGGGCTGAGCGCCGGCCTCAGCTGCTTTGTCTGGGACAAAGAGCTCCCGGTGTGGCGGGGGCGGCCCGGGGCGGGGGGGGGGGGGTGGTGAGGGGCGGGCTGCGCGGGAATGGCATCTCTGCACCCGAGGCCGGCGGCTGGACCAGCGGTGTCAACAAAGGGCCGCGCAGCCCGCCAACTCCGAGCGGAGCTTCGAGAGAGGCCCCGCGGGGAGAGGAGGGGGAGGCGCATCTGCGCTTTAGGAAGTGGGCCTCCCCGCCCCCACCCACCCCCAGGCCCAAGCCCTCCCCAGGCGCAGAGGGAGGGGGGTCTCAGGGGAGCCGGTTCCCTGAGTGGGTCCAGCGCGGCACCCGCGGGCCCCCCGGCTGCGCGGGAAGGAGCTGGGCAGGAGGGGGCAGCGCCGGGACAGGGCGCAAGGCGAGGCGGGGGGCGGGGGGGGGGTGCCTGGACGCCGAGGGAAGGGGACCCGGCGCGGGGCCGGGAAGGTCCTCCCGGGGCCCAGAGGCCAGGCCCCGCCCGACGCAGGGGGCAGGAGGCGCGAGCCCGGCCGGGAGCGGGTAGCGGGGCTCACCGTGATCCGGGGGATGCTCTTCTTTCCCTGGAAGGACATTCTGCTCCTCCCGCCGGCGCCGCCGTCTCGGTTGGCTCGGGCGGGGCGGGGCGGGCCTGGGGGTCCCCGGCGGGGGATGCACCAGCTAGGCCTCGCGGGGGAGCCCACGGAGCCCGAGTGTGTACGTGGGGGCGCCGGGCGTCCAAGTGCGAGCGCGCGGGGCCGCGCAGCTCGGTTGCCGGCCCCGCCCCCAGCCCCGCCCCCGGCCCGCAGCTGCTCCCGGCTTCTCAAGCCCCGCCCCGGCCCGGCTCCGAGAGGCTGCCGCCAACTCCGGCTAGGCCTGCGCTGAGGCCGCTGACCCGCCCCGACGGAGACGGCAGGCGAACTCTTGCAGGCGGAGCGGGGTGGGGGGTGGGGGTGGAAAGACGGTTGCCACCGGTCCTGGCCAGTGTGTGGGCAGAGATTCCCCCCGTCCCGCCCGAGATGGACAGGGAGAGGGGTCCGGTAATGACCTGCCAGGCCCCGCTTCGCCCCTGGCCAGCCGGAGGCCCGCCACCAGCTCCCTGATGACCCAGGGCACCCAAGGCCACGGGGACCGAGTCTAGTCTCAAGTCCAGGCTGAGGATCTCAGGGAGCTGGACTCCGTCCTGAAAGATGTTTCAGGCCAAAGCTCAGCTCCCTCGAGTATTTGCCAGGGCAGGGCTGAAAGCGCCAGACCCTGGGGCCGGACAGTGGAGACACCTCACTGTGAGACTGTCCAGGGCCAGCCCCACGAGCCTTGAGGACAGGAGGGAGGCTGCAGGGACACGGAAGGGACAGAAAGAGACCAGGAGACACAGAGCAGGAGAGCCCAGGCCTCGGGGTGGGGTGGGGGCGGTGCGGGCTGGGGAGGGGGCGCAGGGTGGGGAGGTCCAGGCTTAGGCTCGGCTCCTCGGGGGAAAGGGATCCTGCGGCCAGCGCTCGCGTCCTCGGGGAGGGGCTGGAGGCTCTCCGAAGAGGACGGGCCCCTGGACGGCACCCGGGGAGCCTCCGGGGTGGAAGCGTCGTGCCTCGGGGGCAGATCCCGCGTTCCCTGCTCACCGGCCCCGCCGCCCGCAGCCCCCACACCGCGGCCACTACCTGCTGTGGACCGTGGGCCTGGGCCGCGCTGGGCCTCTCTGGGGGCCTCGCCGCGGCCCCCAGGCCGTCTCCACCTGGCTCGCTGGGACTCCCCCGGTAGCCGCTAGGCCCGCTGTAGGGCTCTCCGCCTCTCCGACCCCGGTGGCCGCCTCCCAGCGCGTCCAGCGGCAGTGTCTTGTTCTCAAAGGCATCCTCCACGCAGCGGAAGACTCCGCCGAGCTTGGGGCGGGCCCGGGGGCTGCCCGTGCCCCGCGCCCCCAGGAAGGTGGACAGAGCCCCTGCGGGCTCCTGCGGCCCCCTCGCTGCCATTGCGGGAGCGGGCGAGGGGCGGCGGGTCCCGGAGCCTCCAGTGGCGGGGTCTGAGCGCTGCGCGTAGACGGGGCGGACCCGGCCCGGCGCTCCCCCCGCACGGTCCCCCTTGCCCGCCCCTCACCCGCAAGCCCTGCCCTGCGCCCGCCTGGAGCCGGCGCTGTCCACGCGGCGAGTGCTGAAAGCTCCAGGTCTGGGCTGAGGGCACGCTTTCTGCCCAAGCAAAGCCACTTCGCTTTGCGGAGGGAGTTCTGACCTCCCTCTCAACCTGCAGAAGGACCGGCGGAGAGCAGGCACGGAAAAAAAAAACAAAACAAAACCACAGTTTTTCAAAACTTCAGTTACATTTCCAGGCCCTGTGGGCGATCTCGAGTCAGGCAAGGAGGCTCTGACTCTGACGTTTGGCGAGTTGGAAGGGCGGAGCAGGGTGGGTGGTGGGGATGATGTGACCACGGAAGCTGATCCTGACTGCCCGTAAAAACAGACTCCGGGCATTTCTCTGGTGCTCCAGTGGTTGCGAATCTGCCTTGCTAGGCGGGGACACGGTTCCGTCCCTGGTAGGGGAACTGAGACCCCACATGCTGCAGAGCAACCAGACCCATGTGAGGCAACTAAGACACAAGGCAGCCAAATAGATAAACACTTATTTTTAAAAAGCAAGTTCAGAATTTGGGTGGGACACAATAGGAGGACTCCGAGCCCACCCAGCGTCCCAGGACAGTGCTGTCACCCCGTCAAGCCCTCCAGGGATTGGTTTTTAAGGAAAAGACATCCCAGTCCTTGCTTCTGTTAGAGCAGCTGCAGCTGGAATTTCAAAGCCTAAGCTGGGACAGCGGGAGGCGTAAGAACCCTGCAGAGCCAATCAACCCTTCCTGCCCCTTGTCCCAGCCCCACCTTGGGTTCCCAGCTTTCCCAAAGAGATCAAGCAGCCTGTACTCACCTGTGTGGGGTCACTGCCACTGAAACATGCTCTTATTCATTCGCAGAAATTCACTGTTCTCAGGGACTTGACTTCTCCCTTGGTTCTCATTTGACAAACAGCCGAGAAGCAGGCCTCCCCTGTGGCTGACCTCAGGTGACCTCAGAGCCTGTCCTCCGGATGAGCTCCCCCCCCCCCCGCCATGACCTAGGACAAGGCTGTATGTGAGACGCCCAGGTCCCCCTTCCCAATGCAGAGAAGGCCCAGCTCTCCTTTCTGGTGTGGGAAGACGCACTCTCATTCAGACAGTGGACACAGAACACAGAAGTGGCTACTGTAGCCGATTAAGTCCAGACTTTAATACTTTGTGAGGTGGAGAACTTTGATATTCTAAGATTTAAAACAATCTTTATTAAAAACTGTACAGTAATTTACAAATGAGTAAAAATTCTCTGGTATATATATCATAGGAATCACAATACAAAAATATGTGTAAAATTCTGTAGTTGATCACCATACAAACCTATTTTAGGCCTCGGAATACTGTTTAGCACTGCACAGAATATCACGTGTCTAGAGTCTGGCTATTAGGGAATTGCTTCAGGGAACACAAACACTGCCTGGCGCATCGCCATGAGAAAACAAGTCCTCATTTGTGCTTGCATAAATTCACAATAAAGCTTTTAAAAAATATACAGTAAACAAATATATGATTTGATACCTATATGTACAGCTTGATTTTCCTGAGCCTAAACGTAAATCCATTACTGTGTTAAAACATACAGTCCATCTTAAGGTCGATGGCGCAGTGACGGTCAGTGTAGATTAACGTCCGACACCTCCAAACCCTCTCCCGGCACGCCCTCCCTCCTGACTGCCGGCTGGCGTTCACAGCCGGTAAGGCACTCGGGGTGTCCTGAAGGCTACAGGTTCCTCCAGGGCTGAGCACTTGAGGAAGCCGCGACCCTTCAGCAACTGGAGCTTGAGGCCATGGGAGCGAGGCACACACTGTGCCAACAAGGAAGCCGCGGTTGACATGGGTTCTGGCTTGGACGACGGAAAGCACGTGTGTTTTATGGGTGCCGTGCACGGGAATCCTGGTTTGGACAAATGAAAGCACGTGCGTGTTTTCCTAGACACTGTGCGCACTGCGCATGGTGACAGCTGTTAGGCTGCACACATCTCAGTTACACAGCAAACACTTCTGGGTTTCAACCTCTTCCTGACACGTCCTCTATTTGAAGAGCTAAATAGAGAGCCCAAATGTTCAATTCAATCCAGTCCACTGCTTTTGAATAAAAGGTACATTCTAGTATTTAGAAAATGCATATAATTTTAAAATACTTGAATTCTTCAGACGCTCAGTGGATTGGCAGGAATTAGTGACAAACACTCATATTTGTCTCTTTCTTCTCTTTCTTTCCTGTCTCTTTTTTTTTTTTTTCAAAAGCCAAACCCTGAAATGCTGGATTTTGTAGTCAGATGAACAGAAGGTGCCTATGATACATGAACAGAAACAATGGTGTCTGAAGAGAAGACTTGGCATCACAGCTCACTGTGTGCTTTGGGGAACATGCATTTTCGAAATGCAGTTTGGTACATGGATTACTTAAAACATTCACTGAGCCATTTTCTCTTTCCAATGCACATCCTCTTTACATACAGATAATAATGACTTCATAAGCATTGGTACATATTTACATGCTTCTCTTTCCTGTAGAGTTTACCTCCTTTTAAAAATTACAAAGCTGTGATTGAGAACCTGGGATGTGTGGGCATATGAAGTGCTCCAGACATATGTACAACATGAAAATCATGATGACCCAAATAAACATGAGGGGTGTGAATTTGGGTTTAAAATGCACATTTTGGGATCCCAAATGGCCAGCCTCCATAACTGCTGTCCCTGGGCAGGTAGACACAGCGCCGGGCAGGCCCTCAGGGAGTGGAGCTGTGGGGCGTCTCCTGATGCCTGCATCATACACTCCATCAGAATCACTCTGGGAGTTCATCCATAGCTCCACGGTGGCTTTCATTCATGCAAGTCTATTGTTTGCCATTTGCTTCTGAGTACAACAAATGTGCCAAGCTGGGCAGGGATTAGAACAAGACAAAAGAATGTAGGGAGGGTTAAAGCGGACTTTGGACTTGAGATACAAACCTGACATCAAGCTCAAATGGAAAAGCAGTGAACTGGCCCCATTTCTTGCCCAAGTGAATACATAACTGTGGCTGTAATGACAACAGAAAGGATGCATCCTTCTTGGACAAGTGTTGATTGATCGTGCATTGCCAGCGGAGAACCTGCACCCGCTAGAGAGAAGCACGTCTGTCTGAGCCTGTAGTCTTTCTCTTGACTCATCCTAGGGAATCAAGCCTGGCGTGGCTGCCTCTGTCATCTGCACCCGAGCTGAACGTTTCTTCCGACACAAATGTAAAGTGAGCCTAACACCTGCAGACAACACAGGCGGACCTCCCTCCAGCTCCCGGGCAATGTGGCTTGTGTTTCTTTTATACAGTGTTGTCTGTTACGTTCTCACCTGGCTGCCCATCTCATTACCCAGTACATCAATCTATAAGTGCCTCAAAAGAGCTCAACCCTGTGTGTATTCTGACAGAGCACGCGTGTGTGCACACAGACTCATGCACACACACTGCATTACTGACAGCACAACCTTAGACTCAAGGGTGCGAGGTTAACAGAAGGACCACCTCCAAGCCACAAGTCGGGCTATGTCCCGGTGCAGGGAGGCTCTCCCAGGCTGTGGACCACGATGCTCAAGGAGTGGAACTCACGCCTTAAACTGGCTTCATCGACGTGCTGCTTCTCCTCTGAAAGAGTGAAGACAGATGCTTTCTGTTAGTGTGAGATACCTGAGCCACTGGCAGGGACTCCGGGCGGGGAAACCGTCTGGGGAAATGAAGGATGCTGGCTCCACAAGTGGACAGTCTGGCCCAAACTCAGTGCCATGCTGAGCCTCTGCCTGAAGATGCTCAGGGCTCTTCCCAGGAGCTGCGAGGCCACAGAGGTCAAGTGCTTCATGAGGTCACATGCAGACGTAGCCTCAGAGCTCCCTCCCACATGTGGGAGAATGTCATTTAAGCCAAGTTTTTGTTTTTTCTCAGTACTTAGAAAGTGGGCCTCTGGTATGTGCCAATTCTTTCTTTTCACCTTTTACATCTTTAATATTTGGAAGAAGTTAAGAAGGTGCTTCCCAGGATCCACATCTAACAAGAAGGGGTGGGCCCTGGAGCAGCAGACTGGGTGGGGTGAGAGAGGAGGGAGAAGGGGAGGGAGGAGGGGGGACAGGAAGGAGGGAGGATGGGGAGCGGAGGGAGGAGGGGGGAGGAGAGGGGAGGAGGGGGAGCGGAGGGAGAGAATGATGAGAGGGAGGAGGGGGAGGAGGGGGAGGAGGGGGAGCGGAGGGAGGAGGGGGAGGGGGGGACGATGCGGGGGAAGGGGAGGGAGGGAGGAGAGGGGAGGGGATGGGGGTGGGGGGGGGCATCCAGAGTTGGAACCTGAGGTCACAGACATTAGAAACTGCACAGAGTATTTTTGGTTTTTAATAGTTAAACTAAATTCTCAGTAAGGGGATATTCCACCAAGAAGAATGAACACTAAACGCAGTGGAATTGCAGTGAGCTCATCTCACTGAGGGTCACACCTCTCCGTTGACATCTCTGCTGAGTTCAAGTGACACTGCTTCTTAGGCCCTCCATCTGATTCGTTCCTAAATAGGTTCTATCAGTCCATCCACTTCGAGCTGTTAGAAAGGACCCTCTCACTTTGCAGATGGAAAGACGGAAGCCCTGAGATGCCAAGGGGTCTCCTGACGTCGCACCTCTCGGCTAACTAGAGCCAGGGCCCCGGCCACCTGTTCGCGGGCCTCCACCACGTCACTGCCTCCCTGAGTTAAGATGATGACTGTCTGGGGTGTGAGCCGCACACAAATAAATACAGAACAAGAATCTTGTGGAAAATAATGTGTGGCATTCAAAAGTCACCCGCCCAGCTTGAAGGGACAAGGTGACGGCATCCGGTTCCCTGAGGCCATGTGCCCCTTCTCCTGAGCCTGCCTGCCCTCCGCTCTCACATCCACAGCACTGCGTCCAGGCCGGGCGCCCTCTGCTCCCACCCAGGACTGTGGCACTGCACATGCGTGCACACACACATGTGCACACACATATGCACGCATGCACGTGCAACACACATGTGCACATGTGCAACGCACGTGCACACATACAGAGGTGTGGTTCTGCTTCCAGACCTCCACTCCCTCCTAACACACACACATGCACACATGTGCGCACACACACTCGGAGGTGTGGTTCTGCTTCCAGGCTTCCAGACCTCCCCTCCCTCCTGATGCACACACATGTACACGTGTACACACACACACACAGGCGTGACTTCTAGACCTCCACTCTCTTCTGACCTCCAGTCCCATGTCCTCTTGGGGACATGGTGTCCTCCACCCCTCCTTTCTCTGGCCACTGGCCCAACTTCCCGACCGTCCCCGTCAGCCCAAGATCTCACCTACACTGAAGCTGCACCAAGCCCAGGGCAGCCAAGTGTGGTCCTCCCCGGGGCCTGCCCTGGGCCTCCTGACCGGCGGGCTCCTCAGTCAGGAGCACCTCTGTGGCCGGAGCCGAGCCGCTGGCAGCACAGGGACCTGCCTGCCAGTTTGGCCCTGGACTGGCCTCTGGGAACCCGGCTTTTTAAACTCTCCCGGAGTTAAGAGGGCCTGCTCGTAAGCTAGCTGAAACTGTTTGTACAAATGGTGTAATTTATGGCAAGCATCTGCCTCCTTCTGAGGTTGGCATTTTACGGGCAGGGGGTGCCCACATGAGTAGCCCCAATAAAAGCCCTGAGCTCTGAGCCTTAGATGAAACCCCCTCCAGCTCCCCAGCAGAGACACCACACACAGCCACATTTCCACGGTCAAGGGAGCGCACTCCATGTGGCCTGCACAGGAGACAGAATGTGTAGGAGCCTCCTTCTGGGTCTACCGGCCCTGCAGAGCCAGCCATGTCCCTGCAGGACATCGCTGCACAAGATCTGAGCTGGGCCTCCATTCTGGGCTGCGTCCTAAGACTCCTGGTGGGTCCCTGGGCCTGTGGGGGGTTCTTGGGGATCCAGGAGCCCTCCCTTCCACTGTTTTCCAGAAGCCTGGAGGCTGTGAGGCTGCAGATCAGAGAGGCGTGGTCTTTGCCTCCGTGAGCACACCTGTCCACGTGCTGAGTCATTTATCTGACTGTGTGTTAGGGGCCAGGGCGGTCTGCGTGTGTCTTTGCCTCCGTGAGCACAGCTGTCCACTTGCTGGGTCATCAGTTATTTGACTGTGTTAGGGGCCAGGGCAGTCTGCATGTGTCTTTGCCTCCGTGAGCACACCTGTCCACTTGCTGGGTCGTCAGTTATTCGACTGTGTTAGGGGCCAGGGCGGTCTGCATGTGTCTTGAGGTCCACACCAAAGGTTTGTCCACACAGTGAGCGAGCCAGGTACATCCCAGCGTGCAGCGCTTCACAGAGAGGGGATAGGGCAGCGCCTGCACACGGACGAGGGTGAACATCGTGGGGGAGGAGGGACATGGGATGCATTGCTCCCAGCCCAGCGGGGCAGTGATGTCTCGATCAGGGTGGGCACCCAGAACCGCAGCCTCACCCTTCCTTCTGGAGGGAGGGGTTGTGATGTCATTTTTATAATGGGCTGCACTGGAGGGTGGGTGATACGGATTGAAGTGGTCGTTCAGGAAGAATGGTAACCAGCGTCACTAAGTGGGCTTATGTCACAGTCACCAAGATGGACGAAGGAAGGACAAGGGGGTAGGAGGGTGCGGGCTGGACATGACCCAGCTGGCAGCAGCGCTGTCTCTATGTTGGCACCCAGCCCCGTGGGCACAGAGACGTCAGAACCCTGCTCAGAGCTGCAGACGCAGAACGCTCATCAGTAACACCCATCGGCACACGCAAGTGCACTCAGACACACGGGCTGGAGACAGCACGCCGGTTTCTGTCAAAAGCGAGCCCGAGGCACCGCCCCGCCGTCTGTGTTTGTGCTGGGGATTCCTGCTGCTTCCTCAACTATTGGGAAACAAGAAGTTGTTGGCAGGGTGGCCAACCTTCCTGGGGTTGGAACCAACTGCAGGTGGGGGGGCCTCATGTTGTCCAGAAATGCGCGCAGGGCAAGTGAACCCAGGTCTGAACACGGAGTGGGCCGGGCAGAGGTCCAGGGCCCAACTCAACAGGCGCGTGGCAGGGGCGAGGCCCTGCAGCCCAGATCTTTGCTCTCTGCCCCCAAACATCACCCCCACTCCAGGTCCCAGGGGCTCAGAAGTAAGCCACGCAAATAGGCGTGCGATCAGCTCATGGGACAGGGGGGGATGGGTTACAACCAGAAACTCTGCGCGAGCGCTCCTGTTCTGGGAAACCATAGCCTGGCATTTCCAAACACAACAGAAACCAACAGCAACAAAAAACGTGTTTGGGGCCGAGGGCTTCCTTCCTTGAAGCTTGGACTTGAGGGAAATATGAAGAAACAGCTGGTCTCGCCCAGACCCAGCTGAGCTTCCACCCTGCCACCGGTCAGCTCTCTGCAGGGCCTTTCCATCAGAGGAGGACGGGGCTTCTATCAGCAACCCCAGGACCATCGACGAGGCCCTTCTCCCCGCGTCCCACAGGCAAGAGCCCACTGCAGGCGGGGCAGTCCACTCCAGCCCAGGACTGTCCGTGCTCACACCATGCCTGGCTCATCAACTTGACTGGGCCAATGCCCAGACATTTGACAAACATCCTGTGTGTTTGGCGTGGGTGTAGGGACGTGTTTCTGGATGAAATTAGCACTTGAATCCACAGGGTCAAGCCTGGCTGGGCCCAAAGGCAAACGTCCCAGGACCTGTGGAGGGCACGCTGCGGGCCTGGAATCCTAGGACCTGTGGAGGGCACGCTGCGGGCCTGGAATGACCGCATGGCTGAGACAGGCCTCCTGTCTCTAATCCCCAGACCATCGGGCAGAAGACCCGGCAACGGTTGCCCCATGCACGTGCCCAGCACACACACAGACCTGCACACACAACCACACACACAGCCACACACAGACCCGCACACACAACCACACACACAGACCCGCACACACAACCACACACACAGACCCGCACACACAACCACATGCACAGATCCACACACACAACCACACACAGACCCGCACACACATCCACACACAGACCCGCACACACAACCACACACACAGACCCGCACACACACAGCCACACACAGACCTGTAAACACAACCTCACACACAGCCACCCGCACACACACAACCCTCGGTTCCTGTTTTGTTTTCCGTCTGGGTGACCAGGAGCTGCTCCCGCAGGCCGAGAAGGGGTGTCCAGCTCTCCTCTGGTGCCGAGTGCTCCAACAACGGCCTCTCTTAATAACGGCCTCGTGCTCACGCTCTGAAGGGGCCCACACTGCTTCAACCGAGAGGGCGACGTGACAAGCGCTAGACAGCTGGCCGCGGGCCATGAGCTGCCGTCGGACAGAACAGATCAGGCAGCAGAGCGCAGAACGGGGGAGGGGACCGTCGGCTTCCAGGCAGTGATCCCATTCTCCCTGAGCCCACGTGCAAGGTCCCAGCAACACGAGAGAACAGCTCTGGCCGTCAGGTAAACACAAAATTCTAAACAGAGAGGAAAAAAACTGCTCCAGAGCCAACAGGAACTGGAGGAGCTTGTCAGTATCCCCTGATATCAAGGCTTTATAGTTTGGATGACCAGCAATGACCACAGGTGGGCACCCAGACGAAACTCCTGCACCAGCACATCAACAAACTTCA